ACTATTTTGAATCCTTATACTCCAATAAATTAGAAGATAGTGAAGGCATAGATAAATTTCTTAAGTCATATGATCTGCCCAGATTGAGTCAGGAGGATATAGAAAACCTAAACAGACCAATATCAATTGAGGAGATAGAAGAAACCATCAAAAGACTACCAACTAAGAAAAGCCCAGGTCCCGATGGGTATACAGCAGAATTTTACAAAACCTTTAAAGAAGAACTAATACCAATACTTTTCAAGCTACTTCAGGAAATAGAAAAGGAGGGAGAACTTCCAAATTCATTCTATGAGGCCAACATCACCCTGATACCTAAACCAGACAAAGACACTTCAAAGAAAGAAAACTACAGACCAATATCTCTAATGAACCTAGATGCAAAAATCCTCAATAAAATTCTGGCGAATCGGATACAAAAACATATAAAAAAAATTGTACACCATGATCAAGTAGGATTCATCCCTGGGATGCAAGGCTGGTTCAATATACGGAAATCAATAAATGTTATTCACCACATCAATAGACTTAAAAATAAGAACCATATGATCATCTCGATAGATGCGGAAAAAGCATTTGACAAAGTACAGCATCCCTTTATGTTCAAAACTCTAGAAAAACTAGGGATAACAGGAACATACCTCAATATTGTAAAAGCAATCTATGCTAAGCCTCAGGCTAGCATTATTCTGAATGGAGAAAAACTGAAGGCATTCCCTCTAAAATCTGGAACAAGACAGGGATGCCCTCTCTCTCCACTTCTCTTCAACATAGTTCTCGAAACACTGGCCAGAGCAATTAGACAGACGAAAGAAATTAAAGGCATAAAAATAGGAAAAGAAGAAATTAAATTATCACTATTTGCAGATGATATGATTCTATATCTAGCAGACCCAAAAGGCTCTACAAAGAAACTATTAGAGCTAATAAATGAATTCAGCAAAGTGGCAGGATTTAAAATCAACACGCATAAATCAAAGGCATTCCTGTATATCAGCGACAAATCCTCTGAAATGGAAATGAGGACAACCACTCCATTCAAAATATCTTCAAAAAAAATAAAATACTTGGGAATCAACCTAACAAAAGAGGTGAAAGACTTATACAATGAAAACTACAGAACCCTAAAGAGAGAAATAGAAGAAGATCTTAGAAGATGGAAAAATATACCCTGTTCATGGATAGGCAGAACTAACATCATCAAAATGGCGATATTACCAAAAGTTCTCTATAGGTTTAATGCAATGCCAATCAAAATCCCAATGGCATTTCTTGTAGAAATAGAGAAAGCAATCATGAAATTCATATGGAAAAATAAAAGACCCAGAATAGCAAAAACAATGCTAAGCAAGAAGTGTGAATCAGGCGGTATAGCGATACCAGACTTCAAACTATACTACAGAGCAATAGTAACAAAAACAGCATGGTACTGGTACCAAAACAGGCGTGTGGACCAATGGTACAGAATAGAGGACACAGAAACCAATCCACAAAACTACAACTATCTTATATTTGATAAAGGGGCTAAAAGCATGCAATGGAGGAAGGATAGCATCTTCAACAAATGGTGCTGGGAAAACTGGAAATCCATATGCAACAAAATGAAACTGAATCCCTTTCTCTCGCCATGCACAAAAGTGAATTCAAAATGGATCAAGGAACTTGATATCAAATCAGAGACGCGCCGTCTGATAGAAGAAAAAGTTGGCTACGATCTACAGTCGGTGGGGTCGGGCTCCAAATTCCTCAATAGGACACCCATAGCACAAAAGTTAATAACTAGAATCAACAAATGGGACTTACTCAAACTAAGAAGTTTTTTCTCAGCAAAAGAAACAATAAGAGAGGTAAATAGGGAGCCTACATCCTGGGAACAAATCTTTACTCCTCACACTTCAGATAGAGCCCTAATATCCAGAGTATACAAAGAACTCAAAAAATTAGACAATAAGAGAACAAACAACCCAATCAACAAATGGGCCAAGGACCTGAACAGACACTTCACAGAGGAGGACATACAGTCAATCAACAAGTACATGAAAAAATGCTCAACATCTCTAGCTGTCAGAGAAATGCAAATCAAAACCACCCTAAGATACCATCTCACTCCAGTAAGATTGGCAGCCATTAGGAAGTCAAACAACAACAAGTGCTGGCGAGGATGTGGGGAAAAGGGTACACTTGTACATTGCTGGTGGGACTGCAGATTGGTGCAGCCAATTTGGAAAGCAGTATGGAGATTTCTTGGAAAGCTGGGAATGGAGCCACCATTTGACCCAGCTATTCCCCTTCTTGGTCTATTCCCTAAAGACCTAAAAAGAGCATGCTACAGGGACACTGCTACATCGATGTTCATAGCAGCACAGTTCACAATAGCAAGACTGTGGAACCAACCTAGATGCCCTTCAATAGACGAATGGATAAAAAAAATGTGGCATTTATACACAATGGAGTATTACTCTGCATTAAAAAATGACAAAATCATAGAATTTACAGGGAAATGGATGGCATTAGAGCAGATTATGCTAAGTGAAGCTAGCCAATCCCTAAAAAACAAATGCCAAATGTCTTCTTTGATATAAGGAAAGTAACTAAGAACAGAGTAGGGACGAAGAACAGGAGAAGAAGATTAACATTTAACAGGGATGAGAGGTGGGAGGGAAAGGGAGAGAGAAGGTAAATTGCACGGTAATGGAAGGAGACCCTCAGGGTTATACAGTGGAGGGGGTAGAGAGAGAGGAGGGGAGGGGAGGGGAGAGGTGGGGAGGGGGGAGGGTGGATGATGGGAAAGGCAGCGGAGCACAACAGACACTAGTATGGCAATTTGTAAATCAATGGATGTGTAACTGATGTGAATCTGCAATCTGTGTATGGGGTGAAGGTGGGAGTTCATAACCCACTAGAATCAAAGTGTGGAATATGATATGTCAAGAAATTTGTAATGTTTTGAACAACCCACAATAAAAAATTAAAAAAAAAAAAAAAAAATATATTATAATGAAAATTTTATAATAGCATACGATGTTAAGTTTAAAAAGAAGATGCAGCTGGGCATGGGGCTCACACCTATAATCCCAGTGGTTCAGAAGGCTGAAACAGAAGGATGGCATGCTTGAAACCAGCCTCGACAACTTAGGGAGGCCCTATGCAACTCAGTAAGACCCTGTCCCAAAATAAATAATAGAAAAAGGTCTGGGGATATGGCTTAGTGGTTAAGCACCTCTGAGTTCAATCCCTGGTCCCAAAATAAAGGGGGGGGGGGAGGAAGAAGAAGAAGGAAGAGGAGGCAGTGAGGATGAAGAAGAAAGCAAAACTATATATAATCTATTAGAGAGATGGACTCATGAGGAACCAACTGGAAAGAAAGAAACTGGCAGTAACCTCTGGGATTATGGATAATTTTGCCTTTTCTCATGTATTCCTCTCTTTTCCAACTTGTCTACAGTAAAATTTGTTGCTCTTATAATCAGGAAATAAAACATTGTAGACATGCTATTGCATTAGTCCTGGAGAGCTACACTAAGGGCTTAACTAAGTAGTAATAGCAGAAATGGCAATATGAATGCAGAGAAGGTGAGCCAGGACTTGGCCGTTATATGTGAGGAGCAGGAAGGAGGTAGAAACCTAAATGTCTCTTACATTTGGCACATGAGGACTGGTGAGTCTGAGGAGAAGTAGCTTGCAAGGATAATAGTGAGTATAACTTTTTATGTATAAATCATACATCATTTCTGAAGGGCATTTGGATAAAGAAACTAGGCAGTTCTAAGAAAAATCTGAATCAAAACTCAGAAGAAAGTTGGGGTGTAGAGGCAAAGACTTGAAAATCATTGACAAAGAAGTGATAACAGAGCACATAGGAATGGAATCGCTTCTCCTACAAGAGACTAGACTGGAGGCATCTCTGAAGAAAAGGACACACATATTATGGCCAATATGTACAAAGTTGCCTACTTAATAGAAAATGAAAATTAACATTTTAGAATTAGCATCTTTTTAAATATTTTTTGAGTTATAGATGGACACAATACCTTTATTTTATTTTTATGTGGTGCTGAAGATCAAACCTAGTGCCTCATACATGCTAGGCAAATGCCCTACCACTGAGCTACAACCCCAGCCCTTAGGATTAACATCTTTGAAGGCTGGAATTGTCAATCATTCCTAAAAGTTCTGTTATATTAAGTTCTGTTATATTAATAACTTTATGTATTTAAATTTAAATACTTAAAACAAATTTTAGATAAACAAGATAAGCAAATTCTCCCTTCCAAAAGGGACCAATATTGACTTTCTCAACTAAAAAAAGCCAATTTCTCAAAGCCTGATTGTTTTATAAGTACTCCCTAAGGAAAAGTGTGTTCACTTTCCAGTAATTTCCATGATCCCTGAAGTTTCATTATACTTGGGCAAATTTGACGACCCTTTTTGAATATAATCATCTTACACGTAAAAGCCAGGATAAATATAGCAATAATCATCATTAGTGACAAGGACATTCAGGAAGGAAGGTCTGAATTGTCTCATCAGAAGAAGAAAAACTGTAAGAGTTGAGGGTTTCTGTCAATGGTGAGCTAGCCAAGCATGCTCCTTCTATAATAAAGGTGGCATATTTATCAGGCTGGGCACTCCTCCCAGGAAGAGAACTTATCTTTGCCTATGGTTTTATTACATCTTTTAGTAAACTTGTAATTAATAGTAATCGTCAGCAAACTGATTGGATATAATTTTATATCATAGATATAAGCAGAAGATATTATTATTTCAACACAATTTTATGTATTTTAAAGAAGTACCATGTATACAAGTAGAAATATTAAAAGAAATAAGACAATATGATAAATTTGTTAAACTATTTATTATGCACCTGATATAAAGTTGAGATTTATCAATATATTTTAAAGTTTATAATGTATAGAAATTGACAATATATAATATATATTAAAATCTATATATAATATTCTAAGTCAATAAAGTAAAGTATGAAGATTTCCACCTAGCTCCACAGGTTTTATACTGGATGGTTTCCCACGGTATCCTGAAGAGGCCTTGTTTCTAGGGGACCATGGATTTTTCCCAGATACTGCTGTTTTTATACAAGTTGATGATCAAGATATTTTTGATCGCCTCCTTCCCTCCAAAGTCGAAAAGTGGAAGCAGAAACAAAAGAAGAAATTGGAAAGGAAAAAACTCATCAAAGACATGAAGACAAAAATCAGAGTATGTATTCAGTACAAATGCATAGGAATAAATCTTATAAAATAGAATAATATCTTATAAAATATTGAGCATCTATGTAAATTATAAAGTGGTCTTCATAAAAATGTAGTTTTTTAAAATTTTAATATCATAGTAAGCATGAAAACACTTTCATTAAATATTACGATTCCTTATAATAAGAATTAAGAATTATTCAAGGCTTTTATTTGGGGGGGGGTACTGGGGATTGAACTCAGGGGCACTTGACCCACTGAGCCATATCCACAGCCCATTTTTTAATTTTATTTAGAGACAGGGTCTCACTGAGTTGCTTAGCACCTCACCATTGCTGGGTTTGGCTTTGAACTTGCGACCCTCCTGTCTCATCCTCCTGAGCTGCAGGTCAAGGCACTTTTTATATTTAACACTTTAATGCTTTTCTCTCTCCAAGGCAAAACAAGGTGAAATCATTTGAAAATCATTGACAAAGAAGTGATAACAAAACACGTAGGAATGGAATTGTTTCTCCTTCTGGTTTCCCTCTTCCAGATTCAGAAGCAACCTAGACATCACATGCTCTGAGAACTTTAGGGACTCAGGCAGGAAAGCCGATTTCAGGAGCTAGTTCATAACCTCCTGCATTTTCTCTTTCCTTTTCACTTCCCCTAACTCTACCCTGGTTCAGATCCTTCCTGGTTAACACCAGCGCTCCTTTCTGACTTCATCTCTGCACCCATGAGGCCATCCTTCCAGAAACTTCCAGACTAAGTTTCCTAAGACTCTATTTTGAGCAAGTCATTCTCTCAGGGCCTGAACTTCCCCTCTTCTTCTTGCCCTTGTCCTTGTTTTTTCTCGGCTGGAACAAATGCAGATCCTTCTCTTCAGAGCTGTCCTGCCATATGCTCCTCCATTCCTCATCTGGAAGTTTCTTAAACCATCCTAACACATTCTTGGTGAAGTTACATGAGTTAAACCCTCTGGATTTCTGTTAACTCACCTTACAGTCAGATAATACTGTGTTGATGGATTTAGAGCAGAAAAATGAAAGTATGTACTATAGTGGCCACTGGCAGCCGTATAATGATTAGTGAAACGTCACTGACTGCTTATTTGAGAGAAGGGAACAGAGGAAAAGTAGATTCAGGACATGTAAGATGAATATACTTTTTAAAGGGACTCCAGTTTAAAGAGTCCTAAGCCAACTAGCCCCAAAACCTGAGGGGAACTGATTAGTTTTTATGTAAACCTTGGGAATGTGTGAGAGAATCCATTGCATTAGATTTAGAGGGCCCTAGAAAACCCCTGTGGCCATCTCCAGAATACAAATGCTTTCCTCACATGTACAAATGTATTTTTAGGGTCTCTTTTAGGACATCATATTTTATAGTAAGATAAATAATGACCAAACATTTTCAACAAATTGCCTACAAGAATATGTCTATTTTTGCATGTACAAAATTCGCTGTCACCAAAAAAAAAAAAAAATGCATAATAAATTTTGAAAAGGAGTTCTTAAATTTGAGGACAGGGTGACTGACCCTAAGTACTGTCTCCCTCTGGAGGAAAATAGCTGGTCAAGAGGCCCAGAAACATGGAAACAGCACAATTAGCGGCACTGCATGCTTTCCTGGAAAATTCCCCATCCTTCCACCCTAATATTATCTCCATCTTGGAAAAAAATATTAATACTTAAAGATATTATCATTTTTCTATTAAAAGTTTTAAATACTTCTTTAATAGGATGACAATATTGCCAAAAGAAGGGCTGAGCTTATTGCAGAGAAAGACAAAAGAAAAAAAGCAGAGGTAAGTAAATTAAATTGATAAAATTACACATCATTATTATTTTCCATTTGTTCTCTTTGTTTCTATTTATTTTTATTCCTCCTCCTCCTCCTTTTTCTCCTCCTCCTTCTTCTTCTGGTAACTATTTACAATGACCTTTTATTATATTTGTAATCAGAGAAAAAATGATTACTTCTTAAGAGCAAACCTCTAACAAAGCTTCAATTATCTAATTGTAAATGTTAGCATTGAACTATGCTTCTTTCGGTTTTTCATCTTTTTACATTTCACATTTCCAACCCATGCCACAGGGAGACAGGCTGGGGTTTGGGAATGAGGTTGCCCAGAGCCTATGGAGTTGAGCTGGAACTGAAATGTTGATTATCTCAGGCTCAGAATGGAGTGAGGGTAAGCCTGTGAACCCCTAAAGTCAGACATCTGTGCAGGATGCTCAGTACATCTTTTTCTGTCCATCTGCTGGGTTTTTTTTTTTTTAAAGGATAAAGCTTAAAGGTCATGGATTTGTTTTATTTAGAAAGCAGATATTCCCAAGTTGACTTAGTGTTCTGATTGCTACAGTCAAGCAACTCAAGGATACAGGAGTCAAAGACAAGCTGAAATTAGAAACAAGCTATTTTATGAAAGAACTGAGGGTCATATTTACACAATCAGCTTCGAGTCATGCCTCTGACCAAGGCAAATGGTAGGAGAGCGCCGGCCTTTCTTTTCCTTCTGGTCTGAGACACCCTTATAACATCTTCTCAAGACTGACCTTCCTATAATCTGATTTCCACCTACATAAAAATGTTCAGCAGAACAGGGGAAGGAGAAAAGAGGAATAACAAAAAGTGTGACTTGCTACAAGTGCAGCCACACATGGGCCTGGTGTGGATATGCTGGATTTCTACACAATGGACTGAAGATAAAACACACTGTAGCCATGGGCACACAACTGCAGAAGAGGAGCCCACACAGTGGGCTCTGTCAAAACAGAGTCAACCGAGAATATATACCAAACCATTAGACTGAGGGAGAGAAAGCAGTCTAAGAACAAGAAACTTCCTCTTCATTATTTGCCTTGGCCTGACTGACTGCTTTCCTTCCTTCCTTCCATTAACAAATATTAATTGAGGTCTGTGCCTAATATTGCTTCAGATTATGACAAGTAAGCCATGAACAAAATTTACAGAAATCTCTGGCCTTGTTCCAGTGTTCATTCCCTCATCAAACATATCCTGAAAGCCTGCTCAGTCCAAGGTGTCATGTTAACATTCACAGTAAAGAAGACAGACATCCTAACCTGAATCAAGAACAGTTAACTACAGGAGGCCCTGGGGAATCCCCGTGATCCCCTGAAGAATCACTTTAAAAATCTCAGGAATGAATTACTGAAAGAGGCCACATTTTGGAGCCGAGCAGACCTAAACTGGACCTACTGACTGTTCTTTGCTGGCTCTTCAGCAGTGACCTGTAGCTCTCAATTTATTGTTGTTTTGTTCTAGCAGTATAACATTGAGCCTAGTGTTTTCATTGTAAAATGGGAAAAGTTAATAATTTTCAGCCACCCTAATTAATAATACTTTAATTAATACTTATTTTTAATTAATACTTCTTTGCTACTCTAGTTAAATATTTTTTGTTGTTGTTGTTGTTGTTGTCAATGGACCTTTATTTAATTTAATTGTTTATATGTGGTTCTGAGTATCAAACCCAATGCCTCACACGTGCCAAGCAAGTGTTCTACCACTGAGCTACAACCCCAGCCCCTGAATCTTTTTTCTTAAGAATTAGTTTTCAGGATATATTTGACACATTCTTTTTTTTTTGGGGGGGGGGGTATTGACACATTCTTAATTTATGATTTTTCCACTTGTTAACATTAGAATTGTATGATTTTTTTATTTTTCATTTAAAGATCCAATGTTCTATTTTATAGACTAAGATTTTGTAAGTTATCTCTCCTAAGGCTTATTCTATTGTAAAATTGGCTATGTACCCCACATGATTAATTTATACAGCAAACTTTTAGAACATAACTCTTGAGATTTTTTTATTAAAGATGAAAACTATGTATTGGCAATTTTTTTCCAATACCTTTAATGAAAATTTCATAAGATATGTCCTGCTACTACCTCAGACAACAAAACATTGAGTGAAATGCAGCACTTGAGGGATCACTTGGTGTGATTGTCATATTGGTTCATGTGACACCAGAGTTGAACCCATCCTGAATCCAGATATACTCTAGAGCTTGCTGTCCTGAGCAGAGATGGGGCGGGGGACAGGATTCTAACCTCTCTATCTCCTATTTGAGCTGCAGAATATGCAGTTCCATGAGTTGCTTTTTTAAAGCTAACTGGAGGATCACCTACAGGTAAAGCCCTTCCCAGTTTTGTCTTCTTGCCCTAAGCTAAAACCTTTGCCTTTATGTCTGATTTTTGAGCAGCACATAAAACATTTTTAATGGGAGAAACCACGTCACCATCCCAAAGTGACTGCGGGCATTAATTTTATAGGAAAATATCGCCATCTCGTGGACCTTCAGTCTCAGAATGTGACTAAAGAATGTTCTGTAAGCCAAGCCCTGGCCTTTTTCTTCTCTGTTCCTCTCTTCAGTCCCTGCTCTCTTCTGTCCACCGGTTCTGATGCCCGGGTCCCTTCTATCAGGTGTTGAGTAGCCAGCAGAAGGAGAAAGCCAGGAAGAATAAGAGCCAGGGAGCAAGTAAGCACAATTGTGAGACTCCACCTGGGTGAGTAGTTAAAAGAGATACATATCCTAAGCATGGAGGGAAAGCCAAAGTCAGGGTCCAGAAGAGCTTGAAACAAGGTCCAGGACCAAGTAGCAGGCCCAGACCATCTCTGATACCTCCTAGGGAGGAGGCAGTATGTTTAGACCCAAAGGCTAAAGTTCAGTGGACACTTCAGAATGCATCAACAAACAAGGCTTGTGGGGGATATACAGGTTGGAGATTATGATTCAAGACATTGAAAACCATATAGTTCATAATAGTCCTCAAAATCCAGAATTAGAGGCAGCCTCATTCTCTCAATTTTAGATTTGATGATGAGATAAAAACCTTCCATGATAAACAAAGGTTAAAAGAATTAACAACTTAAAAGCTTGCTCTATAGAACATCCTTAGCAAAATATTCCATGAAGAGGAATTGAAAAACAACAATGAAAATCAGCAAAGGGAGGTATTACACTAGATGAAAAACTAATCAAAGGAGAAACCAAGTCAAGTTTAAAAAAATTGGAAAAAAATATTAAGGGAATTATAAGAGAATGTGGTGATCCAAATAATTTACTCCTGTACCAGGGAAGCCCGTGAACTTGTTTGTTTTACTTCTCTGTCTTCATGTCTCCCTCTAACTCTCTTCTTTCTAATAACAAGCATTCTGGCTGTAGTCACCACCACTCTCCTGTCCCACTGCCTGCAGAATCAGCCTCCCCTTACCTTCTCTACTAACAGGAAGTTATCACACACTTCACCCTAAATCCAGTCCTGTGTTTCTCTGAGACTGTGCATCTTATTTTCAGTTTATCCCCTCTGTTTTCTTTATTTTTGGTTTCAGTATTGAGGATCAGGATCAGGACCTGTTTATTTTTATAGTTCCTATTTCCCTCCTGAGATTTCTAGTCTTTTAATTATTATAATAATAGTTTACTTCTACTCATTGATTATAATGATAATAACTGCTTTAAAGTTCTTATTAGGTAATTCTAACACCTGGACTGGATATTTGGTAATTATCTTTATTCATGAGAATGTGTCACACTTTTGTAACCCTTCCTATTTTGAGAAATTTTAGATTATATTACACAATTGTAAATATTATATGTGGAGATTCTGGATTTAGTTATTTGCCTCCAAAGACAACTGGATACTTTTGTTTTAGCAGGAAAATAACTTGATAAAATTAAACATGTAAACTGCTGTGCCTGTAATGGGTGGCAGCTCAGTTTTTACAGTTGCTGAGCTGCGAATATATGCATGGTTCATGGCTCAACCTGAGGCTCAAACAATATTTACACATTGAATTTAAAATAGCATCCCCTCTCTGGCTCTCTCATCTCCAGGATTTACCCTCATTCTGCAATGGGCCTGGTTGTAACAGCTTCCCCTAGTTGCTTTGTCAGATAATGAACTTTCTATCAAAACTTTAGCGATATGAACCACCACAATTCTAAGACTGTCCTCTGGTAAATGTACAAAATCGGAAGAGTTACCCTTGTTCGTGTGCTTCTGTCCTGTTCTGACTACTTTCCCAAATCTGCTTTTGATTACTCTCCAGAACATTTGAATGAATTAGAGTGAGTGAGAAGGAGAGAGAGTCGGTTTTGTCCACAGTTTATGGTTATCTGTTAGAGGTTAAATGAATTTATTTCTCCATAATGGAGGCAGCTCTCTGAGACCATGAAGTTTAGAATACATGTCTCCTATCATAATTACTAAGAGATACAAGATGTTAGGAAAAAGGCGGAGGGATCAGGGTGGGGGACAATGTCACAGGAAATCAAATTGCCACCTTTAGAAAAATGAAATCTTTTTTCTTTAGGAACAATTAACTTGTGTGTCTTCCAGATGATCTGCTGTGAAGATTTTTAGGATGTTAGCTTTTTCAAAAAATTAGCATTGTGTATTATGCTAGAGGTACTAACCAAAGCAATATGATAAATAAAAGAAATAGCATATAGGGCTGAGATGTAGCTTAGTGGTAAAGCCCTTACCCTGCATGCATGAGACTCATAACCAAAACTTATTTGCATATAATTTGATTCTAAGGGAGTAAACTATAGGTCACTTCTACCAGCCCCTCATGTTATAGTGACATTGGCCACCCCAAAGAAAAAAATGTAAACAATTTCTAAAGGAATTAAATAAAATGTCTAGAAGACATTAGATGCTATAGAACATTGCTCACAGAGAGCTACAATTGCTCTTAATTGGTCAACTTAATCTTTTTTTCATAAAAATAATCAACCAAGGTCACCATATTCTTTTTTTTAAAGAGAGAGAGAGAGAGAGAATTTTTAATATTTATTTTTTAGTTTTCGTAGGACACAACATCTTTGTATGTGGTGCTGAGGATTGAATCCAGGCTGCATGCATGCCAGGTGAGCACGCTACTGCTTGAGCCACATCCCCAGCCCCAATCACCATATTCTTGATGGAAATTATCAAGAAGAAGGAAAACTAGGACAAAAAAAAGAAAAAAGAAGAAAAAAACCAATAGGTCATAAATAGATAACCCAGGAATATTAACCATTTAAAGAGTTCCAGTGGGCTGGTCTCGTCCTCTATGATGCGCCTCTATGATGTGCCGGCCAACTCCATGCGGCTCAAGTACCAGCACACTGGCGCCATCCTGGACTGTGCCTTCTAGGATCCAACGCATGCCTGGAGTGGGGGATTAGATCATCAGTTGAAAATGCTTGATTTGAACACTGATCAAGAAAATTTTGCTGGAACCCATGATGCCCCTATCAGATGTGTTGAATACTGTCCAGAAGTGAATGTGATGGTTATTGGAAGTTGGGATCAAACAGTTAAATTGTGGGACCCCAGAACTCCTTGCAATGCTGGGACCTTCTCTCAGCCTGAAAAGGTGTATACCCTCTCAGTGTCTGGAGTCTGGCTGATTGTAGGTTCAGCGGGCCGCAGAGTGTTGGTGTGGGATTTACGGAACATGGGCTATGTGCAGCAGCGCAGGGAGTCCAGCCTGAAATACCAGACTCGCTGCATAAGAGCAATTCTTAACAAGCAGGGCTATGTATTAAGCTCTATTGAAGGCCCGGTGGCAGTTGAGTACTTGGACCCAAGCCCTGAAGTACAGAAGAAGTATGCTTTCAAATGTCACAGACTAAAAGAAAATAATATTGAGCAGATTTACCCAGTCAATGCCATTTCATTTCACAATATCCACAATACATTTGCCACAGGTGGTTCTGATGGATTTGTAAATATTTGGGATCCATTTAAAAAAAAACGACTGTGCCAGTTCCAGCGGTACCCTACCAGCATCGCATCACTTGCCTTCAGCAATGATGGGACTACACTTGCAATAGCATCATCATATATGTATGAAATGCATGACACGGAACATCCTGAAGATGGTATCTTCATTCGCCAAGTGACAGATGCAGAAACAAACCCCAAGTCACCATGTACTTGGCAAGATTTCACTTACTTAAGTGCCATGTTGATGATAATAAAACAATTCGTACTCCCCAATGGTGGATTTATTACTATTAACAAAGAAACCAGGGCAATATTAATTTTAATATTATAAGAACCTGAAAATAATGGAAAAGAGGGTTTTTTTCTTTTCTTTTTTTTTAAATGAACAATTTCCTAAATGCATGAGATGGTTTGATGGTTTGCTGCATTAAAGGTATTTGGGCAAACAAAAATAAATAAATAAATAAAGAGTTCCAGTGTCCTCAGAAAACTCAAGAAGAAACTTGTATTTGCATAAAATTAGGATGCTCTGAAAAATCAAAGAGCAAAAAAGAATTCATGAGAACTCAAATAATTTAAGACAAAGATAAATGACAGATTAAAATGAAAAATCAAAGAAGTTTCTCAAGTATAGAACAAAAAACACAAGAGATAAGAAACATCAAAGAAAGAACTGACGATAGATAGAGTTAATCCAAAAGAGTCAACATCAATGCACATTCTAAAAGAGTGGAAACAAAATATGATATATCAAGGACTATGTAATGTTTTGAATAACCAACAATAAAAAATTTTTAAAAATAAATAAATAAATAAAAGAGTGGAAACAGAAAATAAAAGAGGAAATATCAGAAGAGACATTTCCAATATTGAAGAGAGCAATGGGTCTTCAAATTGAAAGGGTTTACCGAATGCCAACCAGAATAAATGTAAAGGTATTAGACATACCCTCACATACCCTCATGAAATTTTTGATTGGCAATGATATAAACAAGATCTTAACTATTTCTAAAATTTAAAAAAGATGTCCACAGAGGAATGTGGATAAGCTTTATGTCAGACTTCTCACTAACAATATTGGATGATAGAAAACATAGACCACCTTTAAAATTCTAAGTTGAGATGATTTACAACCTGGAATTTTATACCTAGCCACACTATTTATAACATGGGAGAATGAAATGAAAGACTTTCATATATTTAAGATCTTTGAAAATTAGCTTTTCATATATTATATGAAAAAAGTAGCCAATTGATATGGTAGATAATGCTGCTTCTGCTCGCAAAACAAATAAACCCCCTAGAAATATGGGGGAGAGGAGAGAGATAAGAAAAGCATCATCCAAACATGGGATAAGTTAAAATGTGGCATAATTTTGAATAAGAATAAAAGTAATGTTTGACCTTGATACTAGAAACATTCTCCTTAGAATAGAATGGTTTTTTTTATTTTTTATTATTTTTTCTGTTGTTGTTGTTGTTGTTTTAGTTATAAATGGACACAACACCTTTATTTATTTATTTTTATGTGGTGCTGAGAATAGAACCCAGGGCCTCACATGTGCTAGGCAAGTGCTCTTCCGCTGAGCCACAATCCCAGCTCCAAGAATGGAATATGTTGCTTTTTAAAACATTTTTTTACATTTATTTTTTAGTTGTAACTGGACACAATACCTTATTTATTTCACTTTTTTATTTTTATGTAATGCTGAGAATCAAGCCTAGGGTCTCGCACGTGTGAGGCAAACGCTCTACCACTGAGCCACAACCCCAGTCCCTGAAATACGTTTCTTAATAAGGAATTGCATTCAGGAGTAGAGTCCTTGGTAACTGGGTGGGCAGAGGTTTGGGGAAGTGAGGTGTCACAATAACCCCCAAGATCAAGATAACTTCCTAGTTTCTGACTGGAAGGCCGTACCTCAACTGAGACAAGGAATACTTGGGGAGTTTTCTTGGGAGTGGAGTCAACACAGGAAAATACATATTATGAGGTTCAGTTTTGTGCTAAGGGAACCATAACTCTTAAACTGTATTCACAACTTAGTACCAAAATTCTGCCATGGTCTTCAATAATAATTCATGAATTAATTACATACCTCAAATGAAACATAGTCTCCTAAAAGGATAGTGACATTATTAATACAGTACTTTATACCAAATGACTATAATAGCGCAACAATGGCTATCATTTTCATACTTACCTTGTGCCACAGAGTTTTCTAAGGACTGTCTGTGTACTAAATCATTTAATGTTTCCTAAAACCCTGTAAGGTAGGTACTTTCACTACTCTATTTTCATATAAGGAAACTGATCTTATTCTAGTTAACACATTTTTAATACTCTTTGACTGCATTAAATATTCTTCCTGAAGACCATCAAAAACATGTAACATTCTGACAACCATGGACACAAATAATATTAATTATTTTATCTCTTTATTTACTTATGGGGTCTCTAAGGTGTCAGAGTATTCAAGGTATTAAATTTCTGGATGCTGACAAATGTTGTCATAGAATACCAACTAATATCAAGTTACTATAAAGTACTCTAGATGGTTTAGTGGTGTCATTTGGCACATATTTTACATGTATAGTAAAAGAGTATTTTCTTCCTTAGGGTGGATTTAGAGAAGATGAAGAAGTTAGTGAGGAAGAGCCTGATGATGATGAAGATGATATTGAAAACATCCTCGAAGAAGAGTTTCCAAAAGATGAAGAAGAAATGAGCGAGGAAGATGAAGAACAGGAAATTGATGCAATTGACCGCCTGAGAAGTGAACTGGGAGAAAAATTTGAAACAGAAATGAGTAATTTACAAATGATACAGGTTCTGACTTTTCCTTCATTGTTTCATAATGCAAAAAGTAGCATTTGAGAATGAAACAAAATCAATTTGGTTTACGCCTTATTTTTTTTTATAACATTTCAAAAGAAGTATTTATTTTAGGGCTGTTTTCCCTTGTGTCAGTTAAGAATTCCCATTTAAGAATATGAAAACAAGTCCATAAACCAAGAGCAACATGAAGCTTTACAGGATCAAATTAAATTTAGCTGTCAACACACAGCTAAATTTTGGAAGCTGAAAAAATATTTGTTTCCTCCCAGAATGAGTAACCATCAGGGTCTATGTGCTATGAGTAAATACCACCACAATGCTCATTACCTGTGACAACTGGTCTTTTGCCCACTAAACATGAGATTTTATGATTTTTCTCATCAGGATGAATTTGAGAAGTTTTTAATACCAATGATTCATATTAATGGAGCTCGGAAAATCCACATTGTACAATATATATTGCATACAAAACTGAAGCCATTGGTGGAAAATCGTGAGAGCATTTTTGAGAAATGTTATCCAATATCCACACAGCTTGCCCAGAAAATGCTTACCTTTACCTACAAGTATATAAGTTCATTTGGTTATTGGGACCCTGTAAAGGTAATTTTAGCAAAAACATTCGAAAGCCATGTTTTTTTCTTTCTTTTTTTAAAAAAAAATGTGTAATATTCTTAACTTATTACAAAAATACTTGGGAGTTTCAAATGAAACTATTAACCTTTCTCTTTTTTATTATCAAATGTGTAACATAGAGCAGGCACCCCTCCCCACCCTGAGTTTCTTCTTATCCGTAGCCATGAACTTCACTCTAGCTCAATAATGATGATGCTGACAATAATGTTGACCTGTGGCAACTGTCCTGGTATAGCACTCAGGGAGAAATAATGTTACCATACTAGTTTACACCTACTCTGTCAAGTCCAGGAATGGCTGATCTGATGGCCATCTGATGCTGTAAAAAGATATTTAAACCTAACTTGAATTAATTACGTAATCCTCATTCTCATCAATATGAAGATATAGGACTACTCTTCCCACTCCATTCCATACTCAGATTAGGCTGCCTTTCATAGAGATTTTTCCCTTTCATGACTGATGTTAATGTTTATGTGTGAAGGATTTCATCTGTACCAAATATGGGGAAGAGAACCTAATGGAATTTGCCTTGCCAGCATACTCCAAAAGATAATAACCCAGGAACCCACTTGTATTAGTCTGCTCTGGCTGCCATGACAAATCACCACAGACAGGACATCTTAAATGACAAAACTGTATTTTCTCACAATTCTGGAGGCTGAAAATTCAACATCAAGGTGTTGATAGGCATGGTTTCCTTGAAGTCTTTCTGCTTGGCTTGCAGATGGCTGCCTTCTCAGTATCCACACATGGAGCTTCCTTGATTTGTGTTCCTGGTGTCTCTTTCCCTTCTAAAAGGACATTAGTTTTATCGGATTAGGGCCCTATCCTTGTGACCTCACTTAAACTTAATTGCCTCAACATATGAATTATAGGGGAGAGGGGACAATTAAATCCATAGCACCACTTAGGAATGGATCTGCACCCCTTGGCAGAAACAGTCAATATATACTAAAAATAATATAAAGGAAGTAGAACTATAATTTCATTAACTGATAGAAAATATTTCATTGATTGTATACAGGTATAAAATAATTTATACTTTTTACAGTTATTTTATATTAATATCTGATTATAGTTTTCTTAGTCCATAACAAAGATTCTTTCTTTTTATCTTTTTTTTTTTTTTGTAGTACAAGGGGGGTGAACCCAGGGGTGCTCTACCACTAAGTTACATTCCCTGGGCCTTTTATTTTTTATTATGCAGTAGGGGCTTGTTAAATGGTCAAGGCTGGCCTCCAACTTGAGAGTTGTTGGGATTACAGATGTGTACCCCCACAATTTCTCACATCTTATTTTACAAATTTTTTAATGTATTTGGAAGAAATGCTGTGTAAATTAATGCTAAGGTCTTACAAATTCAATTGTTTTGCAGTTATATGAAGGAGAAATATTCAAGCCAGTTGAAAATGCAGAGAATCCACTTTATCCTGTAATCCATCGTCAGTATATTTACTTTTTATCTAGTAAGGAAACTAAAGATAAATTCATGAAGAACCCAATCAAATATATACGCCAGCCCAAACCTAAGCTTACTGTGCCTATTAGGATTGTAATTGTGGGGCCTCCAAAATCTGGGAAAACTACAGGTGAGCTTGTATATATATATATATATATATATATATATATATATATCTTTGTTTTCCTCAAGCATGAAAAAATCTCCTGAAACACAGTGCCAGCATACTCCAAAAGATAGTAACCCAGGAATCCACTTGACTCAGAAACCATCAAAATTGACTCAGAAAGAGATTTAAAAAAAAAAACTAAATAGATCAATAACCATCAGAAAAGTATGTTACCTTTCTGTTTCTGTAACAAAATACCTGAGATAATCAATTTATAGAGAAGAAAGTTTTATTCTGGCTCACAGTTTTGAAGGCTTCAGTCTATGGCCAGCGGGTCCCCATTGTTTTTGAGCCTATATTGAGGCAGCACAGCATGTCAGGGAGTGTTTAGCAGAGCAATACTGCTCACCTGATGGCTAGGTCACAAAAAATAGAAAGGAAGAGACCAAGGTCACACAACCCTGTTCGAAGATACGCTTTCCAACACCTAAAACCACCACAAAGCCCTACCTCTCTCCTCAGTGTCATGGGCTGGGGACCAAGCCTTCAACATTGGGCCTTTTTGGCATACAAACTCAACTTACAGCAAGAAGGCAGTCAGAACTATAACCTGACTTAAAAACAGCTAGGACCAAATGGCTTAGAGAAAAATCATATCAATCTGTAGTTTAAAAAATGCAAATTCATTATCTTAATCATTGCTAAAAAGCTGCATTTCTATTGTGTTTGAATTTTGTATAATTTTGAACTGTAGCTTTTGTTGTTTGTTGTTTCTGTTTTAAGGCAGTAAGTCCAAAAACTAATTGGTTGTACTGTTTCCAAATGACATGGCAAAAATATGAACAGTAGCCACAATGAGAATAGAATAGAACTTACAGATATAGGACATATTTCAAAGAAAAAAGTTACAAGGTCTCAGAGGCTGACTGAAGAGGAGAAACAGGTCAAAAATTAATTTGTCACCATGAATAGTAACAGATAGTTATGTGTTCCAGCTTTTCAAATGAAAAGTTCACTTGCCCATTTAAACTTCTTAATACAACAAGGGTCATATTCTTTTTTTTTTTTTTTTTTTTTTTTTAATATTTATTTTTTAGTTTTCGGCGGACACAACATCTCCGTTCTTATGTGGTGCTGAGAATCGAACCTGGGCCGCACGCATGCCAAGTCGAGCGTGCTACCGCTTGAGCCATATCCCCAGCCCAAGGGTCATATTCTTAAAATTCATAAAGATAATGGGTTTTCCCAAGGACAGAAAAACTTTGACATCCAAAATAAAATCCCACATCCAGAGCAAACGTAACTCCATTTTGCTGAAATGGAGGTTAATTTGTGAATAAGATGTCAATTTTTAAAGCTTAATTATTTTTAGAACTTTAAAAAAATAGGTCTGGTACCAGCATTTGTGGTGAAACTGAGATTGCTCTGTGGCTCTCACAGGGGCTTTCCTTTTGGGTGGCCCTGATAGTTGATTTGTTCAGCTATTCCATCAGATGAGTAGAATGGACATTAGAATTTCAATATCCATTCCATCTACCCAATAAAATTGTTGAAAATATCCAATAGGGCTACAGAAGGAAAAAACAAAAACTGCCTCATAAGCCATAAGTCACTATAAAAATGTCAGGTGTACCATTACAATTTTTAAAAAATTATTTCCTAGAGGATTAACTGAGACCTAGTTGTATAAGATATGCTATCCTGATTGTAACATGGAATACGGTGATGGGCAGATAGGAGAATGGTACCAACCAGTGAATCAGGAGTATTACATTGTTATTTTGGACATGGTCCCAAATATTAAGAATATACATAGGAATTATTGCAGTGCTCTCAAAAATTTTGCTACTTCATGCAGCTAGAAGAAGATGGGTTTGGTTATGGAAAATCCTCCAAGACACATGGACTCGTTACTCAACTTCATCAGTCACAAACCTGAATAACTTATCTTTGACAATTATTATTTCAGTAAAATGTGGCAATTTTAATTTTCAGATTTTCTTTGAGGAGTATGAAGATTAGTTGGGTATTGATATCATTAACCGGAGTCTGAAAGTAAGGTTAACTGATAAATGTGTGAAGTGAAATAAGTTTAATATTTCATATTTTTCAGTGGCCAAAAAACTCGCAAGTGATTATGGCTTAAAACATTTGTCAATAGGAGATGCTTTGCGTACTATATTGAACAATCATGCAGAAACAGAGCTGGGATTGATGTTAAATTGGCATCTCCATAAAGGAATGGTAGCACCTGATGAACTGGCCATCCAAGCCTTAGACCTTGCTCTGATGGACAGTGTGTGCAATACTTCAGGGTAAGAAAGTAGGATGGGAGGAAGGGCCATCAAGAAATTGCTCACTAGCAGTTTAAAAGCACTTATCTTAAAGAGAGTTTAAAGCTATCATATAGGTTACAATGTACTTCTTAAACTTGGAGCAATAATATAGTTACATATTTTAAATTCCCTCAAAGTGAGACTCAACTTGAATGTTCACTTGCTAGATTAGCAGGCAGGCCACTTCATCCCTGCAGAACCTTCAAGTTGTACAAAGGCCTCCAGGCTTACACAGTCCACAGAGGAGACCCATGTGACTTCTACACCCCAAAAGTGCTTCTCACTGCCCCATGGAATTTTGGAAGTGCAGCCTTCCCTGTCTCAGATGGTGCTGATTCCGAGACAAGGTTAAAGATGAATTTGATGCCATAAATAGTAAAGGATAGTTTCATGTTCCAGCTCTTCAGATGAAGAATTTGTTTGTTCACTTAAACTTCTTAATGTGACATGTCATAATCTAAATGTTTATAAAGATAATGGGTTTTCCCAAGGACAACAGAACTTTGACATCCAAAATAAAATCCTACATCCAGAGCAAAGGTAACCTCCATTTTGCTGAAATGTTGGTTAATTTCTGAACAAGATGTCAAATTTTCAAAGCTTAATTATTTTTAGTTCTGTCTGACCCGCTGCCTACCCAGGCAGCAGTGTGCCTCACTTAATGCTGTGTCTGGACAAGAGAGCTATGTGCTTAGCTGTGTGTTTAGTTTACTCTCCTGTGCTGGCCCACTTTCCTCCAGCATAGTCACTGCCACACCCAGGGAGTAAAAACTCTACTCCAGAAGCCTAAGGCCCCGTCCTTGAGCCTAGGTCACTGACCTGGTTATTGTGTGTTCTAAGCCTCTTGGCCCTTCCTTGCCAATGGTCCTGGTCAAGACTTTGAACAGTTCTGATTTCAGTTATGGGGGAGCATATTCTGGAGTGCCACACTTTTCTCCCAGAGCACACCCTTTGGGATAAGAAGGAACAGGTCCAGTTGAGTTACCTCCTCCCTTTTGTTCAGCTTTGCATAGAAGGGACTTTGGTAAGGGCAACTCTGGTTGAGTCATAAAGGTTTTATTTCACCTCAATCCCAGGACAAAGGCTGCTCATTCACCCTGGATTTCCCTAATCCTGAAGGTCACTCAGGTGGCCTTCATAGGACAAAGAAGTCGAGATATTCTCTAAAAACAAAAAGCAACCTTTTCTCTCATAGTAGCCCAGCCTTGTTCATTTACATGCTGTTTACCATGAAGCCTAGACTTTCTAGACTTTCTCTTGAAAGCTCTGGGGGAGCACATTCTGTGACTAAGGCTAGATAGGCCCTGACAGATGACAGAGCTGCCTAACTTAGAAAGTCACTCCTCACATAATTTATGGACAGTTTTATTCCTCTCAGTTTGATAATGAAAATCATTCCATTATCTCAAGACTGTTGGACTAACAAATTCCCTTCAGCCTTTCTGTTCAGAGGCACGCATGATGAATCCTGACGGAATGATTCCTACCCAGATATCATCAGGCTCCTCTTACCAACTCTGCATCTCCCTTTCTGTATCACAGCCTCCTCACAGAATAACCACACAAAAAAAGTGTCTCTCTCCTCCCAGAACATCTATTTACTGAGCATCTAATATATGCCAGGTTCTATTCTAGTACATACCTGCTCTTTTAAAAGGTTGAATATCATTTCCTCTGTTTTACTAAAAACTGAAGCTCAGAGAGCTTAAACCAGGTTTCAAATCTGGGTCTGTCTATGTTCTTTCTGCTGCTCATGCTTACACTAATAGCACAACTGGAGCACTGTGTTTAAAATATTCTGTTTTCTCTTAAATTCTGCCAAAACCTAGTTCTGCAATGCTAAGTGTCTGCATACAGACCTCTTTCCTACCTCTGCCTTCCCAGCTGTGTCCCTGTGTGTACTGCCCACCTCCTGGCTCCTGGGCTGACTGAGGTTTAGGGTATAGAAATGAAGAAGATAAAGCACAAGAGGATAAACTGGCTCCCTTGTCTGTCTAAACTGGGGAGCTATCAGAGTTCATCACTCCCAAATACGTGTATTTTAAGTTTGAGACTAAGTATCCAAAATACTTATTTTCTCATTTTTGACTCATTCGAATGCCTTTTAAATTCTGAATGTATTTCACAAGTTGATCTGTTGTTTTAAACATAGACACTTATAAATGCAAATTCTGATATCACCTTCACCCATTCCTATTACTAAATTATACCATATTATTTCTATGTTGCTTAAGAAAGCTAAAATTTCATCCTCCATATATTCCTTTCCCCTCTCTGCTTCATCCAGTCAATGAGTAAATTGTATATATTTCTGCTTATCATCTCAAATTAAACCACTTCTTTCTCTCTCCTATGCTAACATTCTGGTCTAAGACATTATTGTCAAATACCTAGATAAACTGAGTTACATAAGGAAAAGCCTAGGGTCAGTCCTGAAAAGATGGACTTGTTCTGGAAGGCAGCACAAGAAAAAAGAAATGCAGAATTTTTATTTTCATGTTTCTCTGTGTTAAGCGTTGTCATCGATGGGTACCCTGTAACTGCATATCAGATGAATCTCTTGGAAACCAACTCCATCATTCCCATGATCATCTTTGAGTTGGATGTGCCTTCCAAGGAGATCTTCAAAAGATTGTTCCTGGAAAAAAAAAGTGAACAAAAGTAATGTACATGGTTTAAAAACAATGACAAAGAAATGAATTTTAGTCACTGAGAGGAAAAAAGTTATGTTTTTAACAGCTTTTTCCATTCCTTCTCTGTTTCTCTATTAGTTTGCCTTATCCATTGCACAACAGTGCTCAGATTATAGCTATCAAGAATGCAAAGTACCGTAAAAATATTGGTGAGATTAGGCAATATTATCAAGAACAGCATCAGAACTGGTATGTGATTGATGGACTTCACAGTAAGTGGTGGGTGTGGAATGAAGTCACTAAGAAAATTTACATGATAAACAAACACATGCAGACATACCTGGAAAGAATACGAGAAGGTAAGAAAATATTTTAAAATGTAAAATAAAGTATGAATATAAAGTTTAAACATATCTGACCCATATTACCACAATTTATTAAATTTGAACATTTGTCCCAACAATCCTAAGCAGTATTTTAAGTATATAGTACTATTCAATTTTTGTGGTGCTATGGTCTGAGATTTTATGTCCTTCAGAAATTCATATGTTGAAATTCAATCCCCAATGCAATAGATTTAGGAGGTGGGGACTTTAAGAAGGGATTAGGTCATGAGGTCTCTAGGTCTCTGTCCTCATGAATGGGATTACTGCCCTTATTATGAAGGCTTGAGGGAAACTCTTTACCCCTTCTTCTATGTGAGGATGCAGCAAGAAAGTGCCAGATGCCAAGTCTTCTGGCACCTTGATCTTGAACTTCCCCACCTGGAACTATGAGCAATAAATTCCTGTTGTTTATCAGTTATCCAGTCTAAGGCATTTGGTAAGTGGCCCAAATGGACTAAAATATGTGGGGATATCTATTTTTTTTTCTAAAAAATGACTGCTGCTACTCAAACTATCACTTGTTAATTTATTTTTTCTTCTTACTTGACACATAATAATAATATTTGGGGGGTACAGTGTGATAATCAGTACAGGTACACATGTGTAATGGTCAAATGGGATCATTTAGATTTCAGCCCTTTTTTAGTTAGCTTTTGCATCACTGTAACCGAAGCACTGAACAAGAACAACTTACAGGAGGAAAAGTTTATTTGGGGCTCATGGTGTCAGAGGCCTCAGTCCATAGATGACTGACTCCATTACTCTGGGCCAAAGTGAGGCAGCACATGATGAGGGAAGAGCCCAGCAGAGGAAAACTCTCTACTCAGGTCAGGGTCAGGAAAGAGAGAGACAGAGAGAAGGGGCCTCAAGAAGAACAACACTTCCAGGGAAGGTCCCCAGTGACCCACCTCCTCCAGCTGCACCGCACTTGCCCACAGTTACCACCCAGTCAGTCCATTCAGACCACATGGACTGGTCAGGTCACAGGTCTCATAATTCAATCATGTTACCTCTGAATATTTCTGCATTAACAGGAGCTTGGGGGAACACCTCACACCTAAACCATAACACATCTCCTTATCATTTCTCTGTGTTTGATGCCTTCAAACTCCTCTCTTCCAGTTCTTCGTAAATTATGTTAAGTTGTAAACGTAAGTCACCCTTCTATGCTGTAGAACACTACAGCTTATTCCTCCACTCTAACTCTATTTTGGTACCCTCTGTCTCCCTTACATCCTCCTCTTCCTAGCCTCTAGTAATCACTGTTCTATTCTTCTTTTCTAAGATTAATATGTGATATTTATCTTTGCATGTCTGGCTTATTTCACTTGACATAGTGTCCTCTAGCTCCATAATTTTGCTGCAAATGACAGGATTTCATCCTTTTTTTTTTTTTAAAGAATTTTTTTTTTAATATTTATTTTTTAGTATTTGGCGGACACAACATCTTTGTCTGTATGTGGTGCTGAGGATCGAACCCGGGCCGCACGCATGCCAGGCGAGCGCGCTACTGCTTGAGCCACATCCCCAGCCCCGGATTTCATCCTTTTTAAAAATTTTTTTTATCTTATTTTTAGAGAATTTTAATATTTATTTTTTTTAGTTTTCGGCAGACACAACATCTTTGTTTGTATGTGGTGCTGAGGATAGAACCTGGACTGCATGCATGCCAGGCGAGCTCGCTACCGCTTGAGCCACATCCCCAGCCCGGATTTCATCCTTTTTAATGAATAAAAGGACTACTTTAAAATATATTGGCATCAAATTCACTCATTTAACTAAGATGTATAAAAAAACAATTTAATTTTCTGTAACATCTCATATTGCTTTGGAGTCCCTGCTCTAATGGAAGAAAACTCTTAAACTTATTCATTAAAGGACCTTAGACTCTTTCTTTTTTCTTTTTTAAATTTTTTTATTAGTTGCTCAAAACAAGACTCTTTCTTTCTAAAACATCCTCTTTAGGGTAAACCCAGTCCCTTTTGGATATATGTTTCTTCTCTTCCCTAGGGTGGCATCTGGACACAATGAGAAATTAGTGTCAGTAATATCATGTCAACAACCTATTTGCATTTCCTGAACTCTATCCCATAGAAATTTTTTAAATATATAGCAAATATATATATATATACATACATACATATATATATATATATATATATATGTTTATATATACACACATACATTTACATATATATATACCCATACACACACATTCCAGTTTTTACACACATAAATAATTATGTAGGCTTATATAAATATTATTCATAATATATAGTTTATAATAGCTAAAAACTAAAACAGAACACTTATCAATAGATAAATAGTTAAGTAAACTATATGTATATATAGTGAAGTACTGTGTATCAATTCAAAAAATTAGGTAAATCATATAAACCAATATAGAAAGATATCAAAGACCATGACTAACTAATAAAAACAAGTTGCAGAATAATATTTTAGGGCACAGTGACATAAGCACACTAGATGCAAAAATATGCATATATGCAAATATATAGAAAAAAGACTAAAAGGATATAAAACTAACAATGATTACCTCTCAGGAAGGGTGTTAGTTTGAGATGTTGGAGGTATGAATAGTAACTTTGACTTTTTACTTTATCATTTGGAATTTTTAAATGTGTGGTATTTTTGTATAGTGCTGTGTAATTGAAATTATTTTATTTTTTAAAAAAATCTTTGTTTCATATGAAAATATATAATAATAATAATAATAGTTAATGTATTAATAATAGGGAAAGCTGCCCTCATCAACAAGTTGTGTATCACACCTCAAGAACTGATTTCTCGCCTGGGAGAATTTGGACAGTTCTGCCCTGTCAGCCTGGCAGAATCATATGAATTATGTGACTGCTCTGTAACTGACTCCTTGGAATTTGCAGCAGAGTTCAGAGGTCACTATTATAAAATGAGTTCCCAGGAAAAACTAAATGTAAGTTTTTTTTCCTAAATCCAAATACTTACCAAGGATAGAAAGTACCTTATCTTGGAATTCATCAAAGAGCAAGGGGTGGCCACTCCTGGAAACCCCCAGAAACTTGGGACCAGAAGCCCCATTATTGGAATCTGTGTCTCTGAAACCAGTGATCAGTCCTGAGAGCAAATCTCAGGACATATTTTGAAATAGCAGAAGCCCTGGGGCAGTGATGGGCCCTTGGCCTTAGCCAGCTATCAGATAGGGAGAGCAGATGATTAGCCTCACCAATATAGAGGGTGCTGAGCATAGAGGGCTCAACTCATAGGTGGGCATCCAGGAGATTCATCTCCAAAGGCTGCAAAGTAAAGAAAAGAGTCAATAGAGGCTTGGTGCAGTGGTACACACCTGTGCTCCCAGCAACTAAGGAGGATTGCAAGTTTGAGGCCAACCCCAGCAACTTAGCAAGACTCTAAGAAAATTGATGAGATCCTGTCTCAAAATAGAAAATAAAAAGGACTGGGGATATAGCTCAGTGCAAAAGTGAGCCTGGGTTAACTCCCAAGGACCAAAAAAAGTCAATAGAAATGAAACAACAGGTGACATATGTCTACTATGTACTACTATGTACTGTACTTTTAAAAAAGTGTATGTGGTTCTTTGTTTTGTTTTTGTTTTAGCAGTACTGGGATCAAACCCAGGGCCTCATGTATGCTTGGAGAATACTTACCACTGAGCTATGTTCCCAACCCTTAAAATTTTTTCTGTACCCCCACATACTTCATACAGTTTTCCCTCAGTAGAGATTGGTTCCAGTACACCTCCAAACAAAGATACAAAAATCCATGAAAGTCAAGTCCCTTATACAAAATGGCATAGTATTGCATATAACCTACACACACCTTCCCATATGCTTTATGTCATCTCTAGATTATTCATAATACCTAATACAATGTAAATGCCACATAACTAGTTGTTGTTCTGTTTTGTTTAGAGAATAATGACAGGGAAAGTCTGTACATGTTCACTATAGAACCAATGTTTCTTTCCTGAGTATTTTTTATCCCTGGTTGGTTGAACCCAAGGATTTAGGCCCGGCTGATAGAGAGGACCAGCTGTTTATGTCCATGGATATGGAAGGTCAACTGTACTTCTGGGTGTGTTTTTTGTTTGTTTTTATAGCACTGGAGATTGAGGTCAGGCATGCTCTATCACCAAACTACATCCCCACCCTTTTTTAGTTTTTATTGGGGGATAAGTTGCCCAGACTGGTCTCCACCTTGTGATCTCCTGCCTCAGCCTCTCAAGTAGCCAGGATTATAGGCACGTGCCACCATGCCTGACTGTACTTTTGTTTAATGGAACAAAAATGAGGTTTTGTTCTGGAATTATAATATCCATAATTTGATGATATAAAATGGTTGGTAGTTGAAGGCAATAATGAAAACTGATCAGATGTCTCTGAACATTTTATTTTCCTCTGAAGAAGTAGAATTATTGTTATTTCTTTGTTGAGATATTCATTTCTTTCCTCTTTTTAAATAGTATTCCCAAAACTTAAAAAGTAGAAGTGACATTAGAGATCATGTATCTGGCCTACCCTGTCCATTTTACAGAGTAACTGACTCTAGAGAAGTTAATTCACCTTCCGAAGGGCATTACTCAACTAGTTAATTACTCTGCAGGACAGGAAGACTGGCCAGCAGGTGATTCACACTGCCTGTCACATAGTTGAAGCTCAACAATTCATTTTTATATGAATGAATGAGGTGAGGAGAGACATGATCATTTGGGAGATTACCATATGGAACTTCCTACTGGAAAAGTTATTATAGTGTGGAGAACAACTCTCAGGTGATTTGAAGGGCACAACATTGCAACTGAAAAGAACAGGAGAGCCTCCATGGATTTTTTACAGGTATACTGTAGCTGTTTTAAAAGGTCTTGCTTCTGTAATCCTTTTTTAATAGAAATTTTTGGAGAACCCAGAATTGTACGTGACTCCCTTGGCACCTCATCCACTCCCACCTGCTGACAGGATTCCCAAAAGGCTGACGCTGTCAGAGCTGAAGAGTCGATTCCCCAAGTGTGCAGAACTCCAGGGCTACTGTCCGGTGACCTATCAGGATGGAAAACAAAGGCAAGTTCTCACCCTCAGAGAAGTATAGAAAGATGCCCCTATTCAGAATGAGTACTTCTTAGCAATCTTAAAGTTTTGATCAGGCTGGTGCCGTGTCGCACGCCTGTAATCCCAGTGGCTCAGGAGGCTGAGGCAGGAGGATCATGAGTTCAAAGCCAGCCTCTGCAAAAACGAGGCACTAAGCAACTCAATGAGACCCTGTCTCTAAATTAAAAAACAAATTAGGGCTGGGAATGTGGCTCAGTGGCTGAGTGCCCCTAAGTTCAATCCCCAGAATGGCTGCTACTTTTTAATTGGGAAAATGTTCTGTTTCTTCTTTGGGCTGCATAAGTAGAAAAAGAAAACATTGACATTTTGTTTACACAGAAGGGTGTTTTTTATTTTGCTTTGGTTTTGATCTTTCAGATATGAAGCCCTCGTACCTGGTAATATTAATTATGCTGTAGAATACCGTGATCGTATATATATTTGTGAGAGTAAAGAAAAACTTGATAAATTCCTGAGGTGAGATTATTTACTAAGTCATAAATATTCACTGAATATTTTCTGTGTTCCATGCACCGTGCTGGGAAATGGAGGAGTAGAGAACAAGAACTAACCTTGCTGTCCCAAATCCTGAGGCTTCTGGTAAAATAGACTTCAAGTACCTGATAACAACAGCCTGTGATGGGGCCCAAGGGTGGGAAGCACCTGGAGTTCTGGGATCGAAACATGAAGCCCAAAGGCACAACTGAATTGTTTAAATGAGGACTGAGAATGGGCTAGATAAAGGGACAAAAGGACAAGTTCCAAGCAGAGGGACCTACAACCAATCTGGCCCTGGGGATCAGGCAACTGCAGAAATTCAGCATGGCTGCATGTGATGTGGAGAGGGAGAGAGACAGAAGTAAGGCTGGAGGAGGTGAGCAGGGCCAGAGTGCAGAGGGTAAATAAAACCACCATACAGCACTTGGACTTGACCCTAAGGAGAGTATAAATATACTGTCTGGTATTAAGGTAGGTCAGTGTTAGAATCAGATTTGTTCCAGAGGGAGACCACTATGGAGTGTTGAGTTTGTGTTAGAGGCAGGAATACCAGTTAGGAGGCCGATAGTGTAGTCCTGTCCAAAATACTATGATATAGCCTCAGCAGGCTTGGGACCACACTCTGCTAAACACCCACACAGCAGTGTCAGAAGTATTTACATGGGAGACTGAAAAAGAAGAACCCCATAATAAGAACCGCAGAGAGATGAAAGGAGAGCAGGATAGGAGGTGGAGGGAAAGACAGAAAGTCTGTGGGAGGGAATGGCCAACAGGTTTAAATGCTGCTGGGAGGTCAAGTTATACAAGGACTGAAATGCCTGTGAGATTCTGGTCATCCCAGGCCACTGGTGATCTTGGGAATAATGTTGATTAGAGTGAGATGAGGAGTGGAGTGGAAGAGAGATGAGAGGATTAGGACCTCCTGTAGTTCAGAGATTACAAACACAGATGTCCTCAGCAGACAGGAGGAAAAGGAGCAAAGGGAAGCCGGTTGCTTATGAAAGAGGACAAGTGGCAAGTGGTGGGAAGGGCTGCAAACTGGGCCCCACAGCCCCTGGCTAAAGGGGACAGCAGTTGCTCATGTACTACCAGACAGTTCTTGTTTCCACAGAAGTTGGAAATGAATTTTCTTTAAACTTTATGATTATTAAACATTCATGACTGCTTCGAATTTTTAAATAAAATGCCATGTAGATCCCATCACTTCTGTAGCTAGAACTCTTTTAGTTTGTGATCTCTAGGAAGACTCATTGTTTCAACCGTAGTAAGAAAATAGCTGTTAGGTGCTGGGAGCAGTATAAAGGACTGAAGGAGTGAAGTTGGATTTTCTTTAATAAAGAAATTATGAGTGTATTTAAATGCAGATATATGGGAATTCAATAAAGAAGGAGAGAGAAACTGCCATAGTAAGATACATGGGGGGAGAGGATGCAGTGGGGAACCAAGTGTGGCCAGGGACTGGTCTTAGATAGGAGGTCTGCCAGGAAAGAGGACCATATGTGTGGCTTTGCTTGAGCAGCCGATGGAGGATGGCTTCCATCCAGATGGCTTCCTTCCTGTATATCACATGGCATCTGCCTGAGGGATAGAAGGAGGTACTTAGGAAATCAAACTAGAGGAGAATAAAGAAAGTTTTATATAGTTGCTGTGAAAAATAAGACAAGGTGAACAGGGCTGGGATCCCAAATGAAGTATACGTCTATATTTCTGAATGTGCAGAATGAATATATTTATGAGCATCCATTTAATGAATTTTGTGTTTTTAGGTTTCCACTGAAATACTGGGATCAGAAGCTTCCACACAAACTACCTCCACTAAAGGAACCAATAAACCTTACTAGTCTCCCTTTGCCTGGCTATCTGGAACAGGTTTTGTTACATGATTTTTCTGTGATACACATTAGAAAAATACAATGGTCTATTCTTTTCAATTTTTATTTTGGTAGCATTGAAGTTCAAGACAGAGTTTTATTAATTTAAGTTAAAAATCCACTATTAATGTACTTAAGGGTAAAATGTGTGAAAAGCCCCTACTTCCACAGCCAATTCCTAAATATCTGCACTAGAGTGAAGAAAGAGTAGATCATATAAATTTACTTAAATTTGACTTATAGTTGTTTGGTTTCTTTTTCCTTCTTTCTTTCTTTCTTTTTTCTTTTTTTTTTTTTTTTTTTTTTTTTTTTTTTTTTTTGGTACTAGGAATTTAACCCAGGGAACTTTACCACAGAATTTTTCCTTTTGAGACAGGGTCTTGCTAAGTTGCTTAGGGCCTCACTAAGTCACTGATGTTGGCCTAGAACTTTGTGATCCTTCTGCCTCAGCCTCCCAAGTTGCTGGGAGTAGAGTCATGTGCCACTATGCCCAGCTGGTTCCCATTTTAAAATTTCAGTCTGTACATTTTTTCATAAGTTGAAATGTGCAGATTCAGTCTCCAAGCAGCTTCTTCACTGCTCAAGAGTCAAGCTGCAATACCAGACAAATATTTTGCCCCAAATCCAGATGAAGCTATCTACTGGTGTCATCTTATTTAATTTGGATGTAACTCTTTTTAAAATAGTAAGTTTATCAGTAGTTGACTACTATTTTGACAGCTGTTTTTAAAAATTCTATAAAATAAATGCCCAGGACATAATTTTATACCTTTATCACAAATTCTTAACTACATTGTCTTTTTCAATGTGCTAGAAAGTTAGTCTTCAGTCTGGTTTAATATCAAAATTCCAGGGAAGCTCACCCAGAAAGAAATATTCTCATAAAGGCCAAATTTTATCATTAAATTCTTATCTTCTGAGCTCTGGAATTTTGAGTGTGGTGATAATTCTGATCTTTTGAAGCAGAGATGAGCCCAGATAGCTCAAAGCCCAGTGGTCCCTTTTTTCTTTTCTTTTTTGTTATGGAAAATGTGCAACATATAAAAATAGAATGGTATAATGAAGCTCATGCATGTATCCATTACCCAACTGGTACTAAGTCAATTTACATCTCATTTTTCCTAATCAAATGTAGTTAGTATATTCTTTCCTGTTGGCTATATGGTCGTCTGACTTTCTTTATAACCCTCATTCACAACCTCAGGGAGGTTATTTGAGGAAAGGAATAGGCTTCTCTATTCATCTTCACTGAGAAAAGAAACCAAACTCAAATAAATACATGATTTAAATTATTCCCTTCCTACAGGGTACTGCATCTTCTTTAATTAAAGCAATGAATGCAGCAGGATGCCTGAAGCCCAAATTCCCCTTCTTAAGTGTACAGAGATCTGCATTGTTGTATATAGCATTCCATCTAAAAGGTATGTCTTTTTTAATGATACACTGCTCAGAACTAATTTATCATTCACTGTAGTATACATTATAAATACGATAAATAGGATTGTTTAAACTGGGGTGGTTGCTTCATTGAAGAGAAAGAGAGAGAGGGAGGGGCAAATGCAATACAAAATAACAAAAAATATCAAAACTGAATAGCTAGTTTTAAAGCAGGGACTATAACTAATATAGTTAGTTCTTAATAATCCATGCCACAAAGAAAGGTGAATATAGACAATTATGGTCAAAAATAGAATCCTCAAATCCTGTCTGGAAAGGACTGTCTCCTTAGCCATCCATCACGGTGCAACTCACTTACACACCCAGTTTTATTTCTCTTTCAGTTAATAACTCACTAACCTATCAGAAAACATTCACAAAAATTCTGTGGAATTTTCTACAGCATTTAATCCCAAAGGTTCTGAATATACAAGAAAAAAGTATAAGAAGAAGATGGAACAGTTTATGGAGAGATGTGAACTCATAACGTACCTGGGTGATAAGATGACCAGACAATACAAGGAACCTCAGTTTAGAGCAATTGACTTTGATCATAAATTACAGACCTTTCTCTCCCTTAAAAATATAGACCCACTTAGTGGACAGTTTGCTTAGGTTTCCACAATCTGAATCTCAAGAGTTATCTCCAGGTGATAGAAGAAAGTTGAGAGAAAACTGAAAAATCTCTCCCTCTCTGAAGTACATTTCCTTCCCTGAGTGACGTTCCATGGTTTCCAGAATTCAAATGGTCTCAAACGTCTACTAGCCAGGAAAAGTTGCTCTTCTGTAAGAATAAGTTTGAATATAATTTTAAAGTGTATTGCTCCTTGCCTGAAACTTTGATGCTTTAACAAAACAGACATTTATTTAATTTCATTTAGGATATTTAAATAACCTATTTTATTTAATAAACTTATTTTCCTTTCTAAATTTTCAATAGAAAAATCTATCTCAGTTAAAATTACTCATATAAAATGTTAGAAAGCTTTGAGAAGCAAAATTAACATTGATATAAACCAGAAATTTTGTTTATACTTTTCACATAGGAGTTGTTTATAAACTTTGTGAACATAACACACTATCATTTTCCCGACAAAATAAATGGGTAATTTTGAAGTAACTGACTGTCTGCCTGCCTCTTTACTTGAAGTTGAGAGCAAACTGAAGCATACTTTATATATTGTTTTGTAATTAGAAATCACCTGAAATTTTAGGAAAGATGAACTCTTATTATATGACATCTATCAAAATATATAAAATAGAGGAAAAATGTACTAATTGAATCTGAATGAGATTTTAAAAAATAAGGTCAATTTTTCAGCAGCAGTATTAAAAATCTAAAATATTAAATAGTAAGATTGGCTCTCTCAAAAATACAAACATTAATTATGTAACCAGTAAATCTTGAATTCTCTGAGTCTTAGTTTTTTAATCTCTAAAATCAATGATTTAGCTCCTTGATCCCTATAATTTCAATAAAGTTAATTAAAACTTGAAGCCTGTTTTACATATATTTTTATTATACATTTCATAATAAAATAATTTTTAAACAAATAGAAGCCTATTATCAAAGTTAGGATAACCTCAAAGCCTGGTTCAGGAGCTGGGGAGTAGTTGCTTGGAGCTACAAAGTTTTCTGTTGATGTAAATTCCACCCTCTCTTAACTCCCTTCCTTTACTTACTACCTGTAATTTACCATATTCCTATCACCAGACTACCTTCTGCTGAATTTTTCATTCTTAACAGGATACAGATGTTCCCAAGTTTCAGTCTATAGGTAAATTGAATTTCCTTTACAACACTTCATTTCTTCTTATGAAGGACACCAGTCCCATCAGAATACACCCAAGTGTTTCCTTGGACTTCCAGAGAGTATTTCACATGCTCAAGAGCGAGTCCAGAACCACAGGATATCAGCCATCTCCTGGGATCATGTTCTCTAATATGACTTCTGCTTCTTCCTGCTGATCCCCTGGCTGGAGCGGGGAAACCTCCCACATTCAAGATAGGGCCAGTTTGGATTCCAAAGAAAGAAGCAGTATGCCAGGTGATCAGTCCAAAGCATTTATTAGAGGAACTGATGTACAGAAGGGGCTGCAGTGAGATAACGGGTATTCTACAGAGGTATTGCCACAAGGAAGAGGTCAAGCCATGGTTTGTATAAGAAGGTTTAAGGAATTTGGCTTAAGGCCCAGGTTAGTTTCTTTTAGTATTTAGGGCAACAGTTTAACTACTTTATCAGTGTTTGCTTGGATTCAAGCCTGTCAGGAAAACATGCAGTTGGACTAATCCTAGAGGCATCAAGACCCCCTGTGTTTCTCAGGACAGAATAAAAAGCAAAAGAAACAGAGTGTGGGTATGGGGGAGGGGCTACAGCTTCACCCTGAGAATTCTACAAATCCAAGAAATGTCTTCTGAGCTCCACCACCTTCATATGTCACAGTTCTAGAGCATGATCGATGGCTTCCTCCAGCCTTTAACTGCCAACTGATCATGACCCTCTCCTTCCTCCAGTCTCCTGCCTGGTTCTCCTGAACCAGTAAGGCACAGGGCTCTGTTGATAAAGTCTCCTTGAGTCCTTTCAGCCTTCCCAAGGTCAAATGAATTGGACAGGATAGAAATTGGATTGGGAGAAAAAAGAGAAAAACTCTGGATATTCCATTTCATCTACCAATATTCACTCTGTAAGTGATTTAACTTAAATGGTTCATAATCTATGCTCTGCTAATTCTACTATTATATTCTAAATTTCAACAGGCATGGTGGAATCCCAGGGGCTTGGAAGGCTTGGAAGGGGCTGAAGGATCCCGAGTTCAAAGCCAGCCTCAGTAAAAGCAAGGCGCTAAGCAACTCAGTGAGACCCTGTCTCTAAATAAAACACAAATGGGGCTGGGGATGTGGCTCAGTGGTCGAGTGCCGCTGAATTCAATCCTGGGTACCCTCCCCCTAAAAAACACACACACACACACACAAAAAGAAAGAAAGAAAAAGAAAAAAAAACACGGTTGTGGCTCATTGGTAGAGCACTTGCCTAGCACATGCAAGGCACTGGGTTTGATTCTCAGCACTACACATAAATAAATAAATAAATAAATAAATGAATAAATAAAATAAAGGTTCATCAACATCTAAAAACTTTTTTATCCCCAATTCCATTCTCAGCACTGAATTATGATTCTTTAATTCATATTGTATGTCAGATATGGCTATCTAGTTGACATCTCAAATTTAATTAATAGGTCCATCTTCTACTTGTTACCTAATCCAACTCTTCTTCCTCCAGATAAATGAATGGTAACACTGTACAAATGATCTGGCCCCAAACCCAGGGTCAATCTTGATTACATTCTTTCCCTCACTCCTCCTATTGACTTTCTCAGTAAATCCTGTCAGACCCCCACCCCCACACCATCAAATACCTTGAATATGGGCTTTTTCACATCTTGCACTGTTCACCCTAATCCCTAATCCTTATGTCTGTACCCATGTCCCTCTAGGATCTAATCTTCTTCCTGCAGCTGGAGTAGTCCTTAACTACATAAATCAGATTTCACCAGTCTTTATGAGATCTTCCATTGGTCCCCATTTCAATTAAAATAAAACCCAGTCTTCTTATTCTTGGCATAAAAGACTTTACGTGACCTAAGCCTTTCTACCTCTTTAACATCTTCTCTTTTCCTCTTCCTTTCTTTTGGATTGATTTCATTTCTCTACACTTGTCAAAGTTATGCATTCTGTTTCCATCCATTGAGAAGCTATCCTATTCTTTTAACAAGAATACACAAAATCTGAAGGTAATCAATCTTACCCTTAAAACATAGCATTACTGATACATTTAAATGGTATTCTCATTTAAAATTTTTATCTAGTTTGTTTACTACACCTAATTTGTAGATGCCCACAGTTTTTACTGCACCATTTTTATTGCAATCCTGTGGCAGCAAAAAATAATGGAGCAGCCACGTCTTGTACTGACCTCTGCTCTGCTGGCACGCAGAAGTCAGGGAGAGCTCCCACTATCCCATTTGGACCCCTACAAATCTGGAGGACTTGGAGGTAATGTGTGGCTTAAGCCAATTTTAAGAAAAACTAGTAACATTTAAGAGACTGGTAATTACATCTTCAGCTTCAAAATCATGAAGGCTGTAGATGGCATGCTGGAGATCTGGAAGTGGAGGGGAAAATAAATAAGCAATTCGGTATTAATAAAGCATGAATCAAGAGGGAAAATGCTGAAATAAATCATTGGAAGAGGGGGTGGAAATGGACTTGAGCTGGGCTTGCATCAAGAGCTTAAGCTTTATATCAAGAGCTTAAGCTTTATCCAGAGGGCATATGGGAGCCACAGTGGAATCTAAAGGGGGGTGTGACTCTAGTTTCTGCCTGTGATTTATACTTGGAGACACCTCCCAAATGCCTGTGTCTTACAGGGAACCACACTGCAACCAAGACTATGTAGAAATCTTTAACAGTCTACTGAAGAGAGACGATGAAAGTTCAAATAATAATATTTTTAGTCTCGGCAACCGTGAATTAAACCAGGCTTTTACTGAGCCCACTATATACTTGTTCTTGCTAACATCATGCCAATCCTACCAACGGGGCACTAGTGTTAATATCTCCATTTTAAGAAAACCAAGAGTGTGAGGATAAGTAACTTGCCCAGGTCTCTCAGAAACCAGGTCTGTTGGACTAGAGTGCTATCTTCACTCCCTTGGACTACAGCGTTGGAAGTGGGGAGGAAAGGGAGACCGATGTGAAAAACATCTAGCAGGTAAATAATAGTTATAATATTAGAATTAGATGATGATGACGACGACGACAAGAATGAAAGGTAGAGGCGATTTCGGTCGTTTATCACACATTCGCATTAGGCAAAATTGATTATCGAAGCGGTGAGGAGCTAACGGTCCAATACCAGGAGAAACTCCGCAAAGCACAATTACAACACCTGCCTGGCTTTCTGGGCGGTGCCGCCCGCCCCGCCCGAAGAGGGGCGTGTCCTGGGCCACGTGGTCTGGCGTCCGCGCGCCGCGCTTCCGGGTTGGCTGCGCCGACGCAGAAGCAGCATCCGCGGCCCAGGAATCCTAGCTGCGGCCTGGGCAAGCCGGGGCCGGGGCGGCCGGGCGTGGGGGTGCCCGCCCGGCCTCCAGGTAGGCTCGGCCGCGACTCGGACCGCGCCGGGCGCCCATAAGAGGTAGGTCCGCTGGGTGCCCGCGGTCCCTGAGCTGCGGAACCCGCGGCTGCGCGGACCCTTTCACGGCCGTCCTCCTGGCGGGCCCGCGGTTCTGGGCCTGGAGGCGGTGGCTGTCACGTGCCGTCGCTCCCGACTCTGCGGGGTTGGGACTGGCGCTGGTAATGGAGCTAGGGTCTCCGTGCCGAGCGCCGTGTGGCTCCAGCCAGGCCCTTCCACGTAGCGGTTCCGTGCAAGACCCCTTGTGGCTTACGTTGTTTTAACTTTGCAGCTTCTCCCAGATTCGCTTTGTACGCGTACATTTTCTTAGCTTTTTTTCATATTTCACAGATGAAAAATAACTGATAATGTGCAAGATCAGGGCAGGTGTAGTTCTCACTACGACATTTGCGCATCCATAAAAGTTAGTGCGGGGAAGGACTTTACAGATGTTTGATCTCATTCCGTCATTTCCAGAGGAGGATGTGAGAGATTCAAAGGATGTTGGAAATTCACCCAGCGAGATCAGGTGCAACGGGAATAAGAACCCAGGGCTAAGTTTTTAAATAGACTTTAAAAAATAACAGCTTTTTTGAAATGATTAATGTGCCATAAAATTTACCCTTTTTATTCACATCAGTGATGCTTCATACATTTAGAGTTGTACAAACCTCCCTACACCACCCCCAAACCTCTTTTTCCAGTAGTACTCAGTTCACATTCATCCACCCCAACCCCCCACTACTTCCTGGTGGACACTAATATATTTCTATGGATTTCTCTATTCTGGAATGATTATTTCTAAATTTTTAATTAATATGTTAGTGGTGTTTTGTGGCATATTAGTTCGTACATATAACATAGTTTGATCAGTTTCACTCCCCTTCACTTCCCATTACCATCCCTGTCCCTCTTGTTCCTTCCTCTTATCTGAAATACTGGATGTAGATCTATATCTACTTATCTGATCATTTTGGTGCAATATTTCTGAGATGGAGGCTAAATATCTGTCTCTGTCTATTTATCTGATGATTTTATGCTATGTATTGAGCATCAATAACTGAATATGATAAAGTGAAATAATGATTATATGTTTAATTGCAAAAAAAAAAGTAGTAGTAAAGTTCATTAAACAATGTGAGGTTAATGCAGGTTCATATGAACCATTATTAGACAATGCTTCCTCCCTATTAAACATTGTCTTCTTATTTTAAATTTAAGCCTTCTTGACTTCTAAAGAAAATGGCTGAAACATCACCACAGCCTTCTGAACAGCTTGTTGTTCACTCAGATACTCACAGTGACACTGTCCTGGCCAGTTTTGAGGATCAGAGAAAGAAAGGCTTTCTCTGTGACATTACTTTAATCGTGGAGAATGTGCATTTCCGGGCCCACAAAGCCTTACTTGCTGCTAGTAGCGAATATTTCTCAATGATGTTTGCAGAGGAGGGGGAGATTGGCCAGTCCATTTATATGCTGGAAGGCATGGTTGCAGACACCTTTGGCATCCTGCTAGAATTTATCTACACAGGTTATCTCCATGCTAGTGAGAAAAGTACGGAACAAATCCTGGCTACTGCTCAGTTCTTAAAAGTCTACGACTTGATAAAGGCTTATACAGACTTTCAGAATAATCATAACTCCCCAAAGCCAACAACTTTGAACAGAGCTGGTGCTCCAGTCGTTGTTATTTCTAATAAGAAAAATGATCCTCCAAAACGGAAACGGGGAAGACCAAGAAAAGTCAATAGTTTGCAGGAGGGGAAATCAGAACAGGCTGCAGAGGAAGAAATCCAGCTAAGAGTGAACAATTCGGTTCAGAATAGACAAAACTTTGTTGTTAAAGAAGGAGACAATGGTGTACTGAATGAACCGATTCCAGTAAAAGAAAAGGAAGGATCTGACCCTGCTTGTGAACCAGGTAGAATGGAGGAGATGCCCACTGAAAAAGATGAGAACTGTGATCCCAAGACCCAGGATGGGCAGGACCACCAGAGTAGATGCAGCAAGCGGAGGATTCGGAGGTCTGTCAAACTTAAAGATTATAAACTTGTTGGGGATGAGGACGACCAGGCTTCAGCCAAGAGGATATATGGAAGGAGAAAGCGCCCCAGTGGTCCTGAGGCCCGCTGTAAAGACTGTGGCAAAGTCTTTAAATACAATCACTTTTTAGCAATCCATCAGAGGAGCCACACAGGTAATTACACTTTTGCAGCTTATTGCAATGCATTTTGGAATTTAGAATAGTAATGATAATAATAGCTTGTATTTACTGTGTGTCTTACATGTGACAGGCATTATAATATAGCCTTTGTACAAGTTACTACATGTAATTCTCATAGTAATCCTGCTGGGTAGGTAATATTATGCTTGTTTTACAGATGAAAAAACTGAGTCCCAGAAAGCTTGAATAATTTGCCGAGGGTCACCCATTTTGTAAGAGAGCTGGGATATGAACCCTGCTGACCTGATTCCAGAACCCCTCTTAATTGGAATAGTTGGTTCAAAGCTTTAGCCTCATCCAGTTATCAAGCTTTGGCCCCACTCACTCTGCTTTGTGATTCTTAAACATTCTTCATCTTGACCAAAACATTCTTTCACTCAGTTCTGTGTTGGTAACTTTATAATTCAGCCCTCTAGCTATAGATGCTTTCCCCTTTTTGGTCCCTCTGGATGAAAAAATGTTCTCTGTCTTCACTATGTAGTATAATGGCCACTAGCCTCGTGGGATTTTGGGGGGTGGGGTGTGGGGGGGACTGGGGATTGAACTCAGCGGCACTCAACCACTGAGCCACCTCCCCAGCCCTGTTTTGTATTTTATTTAGACACGGGGTCTCACTGAGTTGCTAGGCACCTTGCTTTTGCTGAGGCTGGCTTTGAACTTGCAATCCTCCTGCCTCAGCCTCCCAGGGTGCTGGGATTGCAGCACCACCACATCTGGCACTTCATAGGATTTTGAGCACTCAAATTATGGCTAATGTGACTAGGAAACTGAACTTTTAAATTTTTAGTTAATGAAAATTTGAATATCTACTATACTGTACTATGCAGTGCTAGCCAGAAATCTCTTCCTCCTTTAAGCCTTCTCTCAGGTGCTTAACTCACTCTGCTTTGGGACAGGTTATAGTTGCCACTTATATATTCCTCACTTTAATTTTAAACTTAAATATAAGGACTGGTACTAAATCTTCTGTCATTTAGCAGCTTGCTGTCATCTGATGCTATGGTTCACAATAGCCACATTAGAATTGCCTGAGAGCTTATGTGCCTGACCCCTACCCCCAGAACTTCCTGTTTAATTATCTAGAACCTTGGTGTTACAGGTTCTTTTTTGTACTAGGTTGATTTTGTGGGAGGGTGGGAGTACCCAGGATTGAACTTGAGGTCACTCGACCACTGAGCCACATCCCCAGCCCTATTTTGTATTTTATCTAGAGGCAGAGTCTCACTGAGGTGCTTAGTGCCTTGCTGTTTCTGGCTTTGAACTCTCCGTCCTCCTGCCTCAACCTCCTGAGCTGCTGGGATTATAGGCATGTGCCACTGCTTGCATTTTGTTTTTTTATTTTTTAATCAAAATACATATGTACATAGCTGAGCACAGTGGCGCATGCCTGTAATACCATGGTTTGGAAGGCTAAGGCAGGAGAATTGTAAGTTCAAAGCCAGCCTCAGCAAAAGCGAAGCACTAAGCAACTCAATGAGACCCTGTGTCTAAATAAAATACAAAATAGGGCTGGGGATGTGGATTAATGGCTAAGTGCTCTGAGTTAAAAAAGATACAGATGTGTCTAATTTAAAGAGTTAAATCACACTCAGAAAAATGAGAAATTATACCCCATCTGATTCAAATGTATGATATGTCAAGATCATTGTACTGTCATGTGTAAATAATTTAAAAAAATACAAATTCTTATTAAAAAAATAAATACAGAGTTAAATCATTCTGTAAGACTTGTTAAGGAAAAAAACAGCATGTAGGATCTTTCCTTTTGCCTTCAGGATTCTGGAACTTTAATGTGGATCTGTTTTCTTCCATTTTGTTAGATACTAGATAGATCCATACAGTTTAGAAACTCCTTTCAGTTTCAGAAAACTTTACTGAATTATTTCATAGATGATTTCCTCCCCTCTATTTTCCCTGTTCTCTCTTTCCAGGTGTGCTGTTTGCATGTTGAACCTCTTGGACCCATCTTCCAATTTTCTCATCATTTTGCTCATATGAAGGAAACATCATTGTGTTCTGTACTTTAGGGAGAGTTCTACTTTATCTTTCAGCCCTTAGAGATTTTTCTGATTCTACTTTTATACTTTTTACTTCTAGAACCTCACCTTTTAAAATATTTTTAAAAAACTTTTTCTTCACTCAGGGCCGTCTGTGTTTTCTGCACATACCTTTTTTCTCTTCTTCTTCTTGTCTTGTTATCTGTCTCTGCTACTAAAGTCTTTCCTTGAATGCCTGCTTCATCATATGTTAGAGTAGGTTTCTAAAAGCATACCAGCCTTGCAGGTATGGAAAGTGCCTATGAAACAGTAGCCTTACTGGAGAAGTTGTGGCTGGGCCCTACTTCCTTAGAGATGCCTGGTGGGGCATCTGTAGCTCTCTTACCTCAGGCTAGTCACCTTCTAGGAAAAAGGCCTTTACTTTCCTACCAGGAAGCACTAGGCCTAGCTGCTAGTGTCTGAGTAGCCTCTCATTATCCCAAATATATCCTTTAACCTCATCTCACCAGTGCCTGACAGTCCTTAATCCAGAAACATTTTCTTTTACTGTCTTAGAAAATAATTTCCATCTTCTCTTGGCAGAGGGTAAGTGTCCTGCCTGTATGGAATAGGAGACTGGGTTTGGGTATCTTAACTACCTTTGAAATCGACTGTTCTTTACCCTCCCTCACTCCTGTGTTTAGAGATTACAGTTATTGAGCCTTTTGGAGGCTCTGTCTTAAAAATTTGGTTGTATCTTGTTGCTCTTCACTGCTTGCTTTGGGATTATCTCTTTCAGCTTCCAAACTTTATTGCCAACATTGTCTCTCCTGTAACACTGGTCTTTGGATATATGTCTTTAAGAGAAACTTCTTTATTATCATTTTAATTTGGGAGGGAACAGAAAGACATGCAGATTCTTGCTTACACCAAGCTTTTGGGGCTTTTATTCCAGGGGAGCGACCCTTCAAATGTAATGAGTGTGGAAAAGGCTTTGCCCAGAAGCACTCTTTGCAGGTCCACACCAGGATGCACACAGGCGAGCGGCCATACACCTGCACCGTGTGCAGCAAGGCTCTGACCACCAAGCACTCACTGCTGGAGCACATGAGCCTGCACTCAGGTAGCTGGGCTTGCACCAGAGGGCCACATGCCACCAGATTCCCATTCCTTGGGGTGGACATTGTTGGGATCTAAATGGTGTATTCTCAGACTGATACCATTTCCCACATGGTGTCATTGAAAGATTGAATTAGACCTCTGTCATAGTGCAGTTCAGATGAAGTTTTCAGAGTTAAACAGCACTGACCTTCAATTAGAGCTATAAACTGGCTTAGAATTAGCTTACTTTGAATGTCTTTGGGGAAAATTTGAATTCTCCAATTCTACACCAATCTCCACTTCTCTCTCTTGCCTTTATATACCTTTGCACATTTTAAGTTCCTGCTGAAAACTCTGAAGGCTTTTGGGTGTATAAGCAATCCATTTGTATCATTTACAGAAAATGGGAACCTGGACCCACTATGTTAGTTACCTTATTAGTGAGTGATTATTCTAGCTCTCTAGTTTTTTGCATGGTTCAAGTGTTTTATCTTTTATTTGGCAGGACAGAAGTCTTTCACCTGTGATCAGTGTGGAAAGTATTTCAGCCAGAAAAGACAACTAAAGAGTCATTACCGAGTTCATACAGGTACAATGACATAAAGTGAGAGAAAATTTAGATTAATGGAGAAAAAAATGCAAAGACAAATTGTTTCTGAAACATTAGGTTGATATCATAGAAGATAAATGGATATTTATGGGAAAAGTCTTAAAAAGGCAATCTACATTAGAGGTTGTTGTGTTATTCTATACTATGTGTGATTTAAATTTAATTTTTGTACCATAGTTTGGATGCCACACACAGAACCCCTACAGAATTGGTATCTTTTGCCACTTGCCCAAGAGGGCTTCAGTTGATAGGTTGTTAATGATGCCTAGAGAGATACCACCTATGGCAGTTAGTCCAGGCTTTCTCCCACCTGGTCTAGTCACTGTCCTTTTCTTTTTTTCTGTCAGCTGATAAGAAATGAAGGAGGGGGTAAGAGCATGATGCAAGATCAACTGGCCAGTCACTCTAGTGCTTTGATGGAAAAAGTTTATGCTTAGGAGGACTCAGAAGGTCTAGTTCTCTCAGGGAAACAGTGAGTTGAGGTACATAGGGAAATATTAACTGTTACCAAATTAATAAAATATATTTCTTGTTGTTAAAGTCCCATATTTAAAGTGATTATTTTTCAGGGAAGTGCTTTAACACAAATCACTGAAGAAATGCAGGGAGAGCATATATGCACTGACACTTTTTTTATTGTTGCGACAAGGCCACTCATTACCGGAATGCACCCACTGTCAACGCAAATTCATGGATGTGTCTCAGCTAAAGAAACATCTACGAACACACACAGGTAAGACACCTTCTCATTTATCTTCCTTAGTACACTTGATGTTTTTAGCAGAGTGATGAATGAAGTTTCGAGTCCCCTCCTCAGCCTGTATTTGGGAATGTTTGTGTACATTGGATGAGATTTCTAAGTAGAACATTTAAAAGCCCAAGGCAGAATATTGTTAGCACTGTTCTGTGGGGACATCCCATCTCTTTGTAGTTAGAAAATGGAGATTACTCGATGGGCATTATGAAAGTTCATTTAGTTCCACAGAATAATACAAGTCTATTTCTGTGCTTCACTCTTAATTTACTTCAGCATTGAAGATGATCAAGATAAATTGTTTACAAAATAAAATAGAGGGAAAGTAACAAACACTGAGAAGTCACCACTTTCACCTCTGGAACTAGCACTTAACCACTTAAGCATTACCACTTTCTAAAAACACAGCTACAGGAATAAAGAGGAGGCAAATTGATTAGGTCAGGGTAGATTTTTTTTTTTATTTAAGATTAGAAAAGTAAAACTGTGATTCTCTTGTACCTTTTGGTAAGGGGCACATAAGAAAAACTTGTTATTGTGGGGCTTTTTGGTTTTTTGTGTTTTTTTTTTCTGTAGGAGGGTACTGGGGATTGAACTCGGGGGTACTCAACCACTAAGCCACATTCTCAGCCTTATTTTGTATTTTATTTAGAGACAGGGTCTCATTGAGTTGCTTAGCACCTTACTTTTGCTGAAGCTGGCTTTGAACTCACCATTCTCCTGCCTCAGCTTCCTAAGCTGCTGGTATTACAGGCGTGCACCACTGTACCAGGCCTGTTGTGGGTTGGTTGATAACATAATGATTCTTATTAAATTGTACATTGAAATTATGTATCAGAATGGTTTATAGTGCTTTGGACTTTTCTTTTTTTTAACATTTTTTTTTTTTTTAAGTTGTAGATGGACACTATGACTTAATTTTTATGTGATGGTTAGGATGAAACCCAGTGCCTCACATGTGCTAAGTAAGCACTCTACCACTGAGCCATAACCCCAGCCCCTGGACTTTACTTTTTAAATGCAGGTTGAATATCTCTAATTCAGAATCCAAAATGCTCCAAAATCCAAAACTCTTTGAATATGGATATGATATTTATAAGTAGAAAATTCCACACACAACTTTATGTGATGGATCGCAGTCAAAATATAGAGGCACTAGAAATATTGTGCAGAATATTTTCAGACTATGTAAAAGAGGTTTATGTGAAACATAAATGGATTTTCTTTTAGATGTGGGTCCCTTCCCCATAATATCTCATTATATATATATACAAATATTCTAAAATTGGGGAAAAGAATCCAAAATTCAAAACACCTCTGGCCCCAGGCATTTCTGAAAATACTTAGCCTGTATCAGTTTTCTTAAAGTCAATAAATTATCTCATGGGTTGTGAGTTTTCTGAAAATGGTGTCTCTATAGTCTTTTCACAGACACCATTCGTGGTTTCTGCAAAATTTAATTATCTATTCAGCACATATTTACTGAGTAGTTACTGGGTACCAGGCACTGTTTTAGGCCCTAAATGAGAGGGACAGAGCCCTGCTGGTAAAGGGCTAACATTCAGAGATAAAGAGCATAAGAGTGTGTAACGTGTTAGGTAGTGGTGAGTGCCATGAAGAAGTAAATGCAGGGTAAAGAGCAGTGTGGAATTGCTCTTTTATATAGGGACTGTTCTAGGAAGGTCTCACTGATAGAAGGTACCTTGGTTGGAGATCAGAATGTGGGGAACAGGCCAGTCATTGTGGACATCCAGTCAGGAACATTCTAGGTGGGGACAGGACAGCAGGTAAAAGCCTTCAGACAGAAGCATTTCTGACATGATGTAGAAATGCCAAGAGGCAGGAGCTAAAGCGGAGCAGGGAATCTGGGAATAGGAGAAAGTGGTATACCTGGGCATTGGTACAGGGGTTCTCAGTTTAGCTACACACTTTAGTCACCTGAGAAGCTTTAAAAAAAAGAAAAGGCCTGGGCTAGAGCCTCTGAAGTGCCTCTCCGTGTTTCTTCTGTACTCACAGGCGTAAGCACCTAAAGACCATAAAAGACTTTGAATTTTATTCCAAGTAAGATGCCTTTACCTAAAGGAATGAGATGACATGATTTTGAATTTTGCCCATTTTTGTCCCATTGTCCCATATGTGTAACACCTGTACAAACATATATACATAAAATATGAAATATAATTATAATAGGATAATTACAATAGTATTAATATTAGCTAATGTTAATACATAAGCTGTAAGTTGTTTCCAACCTGTTTTACAGCACTTGTGACAGTTTCATTGAAATGTTTTCAGAATTGAAAATTTTGACTTTATGGGTTAATAGAATAACTGCATCTGTCATATGGGGTGGGGTGAGTTAAGGCTGGAGGTGAAAACGCATCATAAGGTTGTTGTAATGATGAGGAGGTTGGCCCAGTGGGGCAGCAGTAGAGATGGCAGCAACTCTGAGAAGGTGTTCAGCATGTTTTGTTTGTGGTTGGATTCGGGAGTGAGATACGGAGGAGGCAAAAGCAACTGGAAGGAACAAAATCTGGGGCAGACTGGGAGGAACAGATTACAGGAGTTTGTCATGTCAGATCTGAGGGAAGCGATACAGGCAGAGCTATGAATGTGTGCACTTACACATGTGCCTGTAAATAGTGTGTGAAGTTACTATGGACTCCCCAGAGAACCAGATGGAACAGGGCTGAGGTGGCCCAGTCCTGTTGATCAGTGCCAGAGAAGTTTTGTCTCCTGAGAATGAGCCATAAAGCATCTGATCACTGTGAGTAGACCAGAAGTGAGGATGTAAAAAGGAAGCGAAGATCTTCCCTTATAATCCCTGTGAGCCCTTCATAGCCTGTCTACTTTGGAGAAGCAAAAGACAGTGGATGGTGGGTGTGTCATTGGGGTGGGGGGGTGGGGTACACAATATAAAGTGTTTGGTATGGCCTTGAAACTAAGCCACTAACAAATTTGGGGCTCTCCGATGGCTGGGACTATGATCCATCTGTCCCCAGCACAGAGAAGCTACTTAATATGGTGTCGAAAAGCACCAGTCAACCTGTTACCTGCGCTGGGCCAGGTTGAGCAGTATGGATCATGTCAGCAGAGCCATGCTCAGTTGGAAAACCTAGATTGACGTTCATATCTTACATCTTCAAGGGCAGACTCTCTCAGGGTTAGATGTTCTGCACCAAGCACTAGATAAGTCAGAGGCAAAATAAATGTATTTTATTCCCTAAGAGGGTATCCTTAGTGAGGGAGATGAACCTATTTGAAAGGAATGTCAGGTGTCTGGCAGATGGTCGGTACTGATGAGTCAGCCAAAGGGAGAGATGCCTGGCTTAGGCTTTTGTGTTTGCATCTGTGCTTGTCTCTGTACCTGGAGCTGTGCAGGCTTATTTGGATCAGTTGAAATCAAGCAGATTCACAAAACTGGTAGGCAGTGAATATATGAACAAAGGGGCTACATCTTCCTGACATCAGGGTACACAGAAACCATGATAGTGATCTAAAACTTCTTTGGTTAGCTGGGGGCAAGTCAAGGGAATTATCCCAAGCAATGGAAAAGCCTGGTGTGAGGCATTTCCAACTCCATAGTGCAGTCCTACTCTTCATGCATCCCTGTCCCTTGGATGGTGTTAGGTACTCACACTGGTTCTACACTGCAGGCTCCCACTCACCTGTGGATGGCCCTTCCTAGTCACCCGTAATAAAGTTTATTAAGTCATAGTTTTCATTCAGAGCCTCATTTGCTTGGGTTGGATTTGAAGCTACCTCAATCTCCTCAGTTATATGTTAAGATGGTCCATTAATGTTGCTTGTTCCCGTCTTCCTGAGAGCTGGGGCTTCTCACCACAGCATGTTTTTACAGTGTCTACATGCTATCTATTAAGAATCTCAAGACAAGCTGGGTGTAGTGGCACACACCTGTAATTCAAGCTGGTGGGAAGGCTGAAGCAGAAGGATCACAAGTTTGACACCAGCCTAGGCAGCTTAGTGAGACCCTGCCTCAAAAAAATTAAAAGGGCTGGGGATGTATTTCAGTGGTAGAGTGCCCCTGGGTTCACTTCCGATTATCCAACCCACCCCCCACACACACCCACACACAAAAAAGGAGACGATGACGAGTATCAGGACAGTGCAGTAGAGGTCTGAGCACAGAGAGGATGGGTTACATCCCCAAAAGATCTGGGAAAGCATCCATAGTTGAAACCTAGACCAGGAAGCCAGAGCATGTTCTGAGAGCAGAAAGAGGCATCTGCAGACAGGAGCAGGGAATGCTAAGCTTGGGGATATGAGAGCCTAGCATCCAAGAGTAGTACAAGAAATTCTGCCATGCATATGTGGGATGGGACTGCCAGACAGTGGGCAGACCACCATGATGGCAAGCATGGAGTAGCTTTTAAGCAGGGAAAAGGGACATTTTTATTTGTGTCTTTAAAAGGACTCAGCAGCCCCAAGAGGGACAGGTCTGGGAATGAGCTGGTTAGCAGGCCCTAAGAGTGATGAGGACTTGCAAGTCAAGAGAATGGAATGAAGAGACGTATTCAAGAGATTTTTAGTTCCTACATATATGATAAAGTGTTAATTTACCAAATAAGAAGTGAGTACCCCAGTAAGAAACTGGGCCAGGGATGTGCGTCAGGGAAGACAGTGTAGGAATGGCAAGTAAACCACTCTAAAACCCTATTAATCATCAGAAGAGTAGTGTACATGGTTTTTGTCCATTAGATTAGCAAATACATGAGGTAATGGACATCTCTATGTATTATTGGCGGAAATAAAATTTGGAGGCTTTCTAGAAAGAAATTGGCAATATTTATCAAAATTTTAACTGTCCAACTGTGAAAATATGTTTGTATAAAGATATTGATTATAAGCAAGATTGACTATAATGTCACAAACTTAAAAACAACCTAAATGTCCATCACTAAAGGACTAAGCAGGTATGTTTTGGATAATATACAGAGAACTACAATACAACCTTTTAAAATGTGGTATGGCTTTACTTGAAAGAATAACATTGTACTGGGTGTGAACTTTGTACTTCATGTGCATATGCACCAATGGATTTGCATGTAAAGGTGTTTATCACAGTGTTGATTGGTTATTGAAGAGAGGAGAATGTGGAGCACTTTATGCATTCTTTGTACCCCTCAATATCATTTGAATATTTTACAATGAACTTAATTTTTGTAAGAAAAAACAAGACTGTGTTCCACTTGTGAAGCAGGATTCTCAGGAGGGAAAATGTATAGGACTGAATTGCTGGTTAACATGGCAAAAAGAGAACTGGGAGTATCACTGTGATTGTTGTGCCTGGCTGGGACAGGGATTGGGTGGTGCTGCCATTAACCAAGAAAGCCATCCAGGTTTGCACTGATGGCAGGGGCAAATCCACTGAGGTCCAGTAAATATTGAGTAAAAAATCCTGTATGGAGCCCAGGCCTGGGTTTATAAGTCTCCCAGCTGGGTGCAGGGGTGGTGGATTAGCCAGCTGAGAGGAGGCTCCGAAAGGATCCCTGAGCTCCCTCCTTCTATCAGTGTTCCACTGGAGGAGCGTTTAGTCATACTTGTGTCTCTGCCCTTAATTTTAATCAGTGTTGTCTAGTTCTCCTGTAACAAACTTCCTTGTGGTCCCACTCCCTAAACTTAGGCCCTGTCATCTCATCCTTGTCCCTCTCCATTGGCCTCCTGCCACCTCCTGACCCAGGCCTCAGCACCTTGTATATAGAATATAACAAGAAGGTTTGCTTCCAGCTTACGGTACCCATCATTCCCAGACTTAATTTATAATACTTTTGGCATGTCATCATTCTACTAAAAACCTTCAGAGGCTTAAAGGTTCTTTGCCTGGAATTTATGGCTCCTCATGGTGTGGCCTCATCTTTTAGCTCTACCACTCCCCAGGGTGAATTCTTGTCCTGCTATACCACGTGACCATTTCCAACACAAGGGTTTTGGTCATACCATTGATATCAGGGCTTCTCTCCAGTTTGGCCCGATCCTGCCTCCACTAGCTTCCACTATCCTGTCTGGACTCAATATTGTTGATACCGCTCATTTGATCATACACTCAAATACAGCTTTGCCTTGCTTATCTTCTCAAATAGACTATACATCCCTTTTTGAGATAGTGATCATGCTTTTTTTTTTCTGTTTCTTAGCTCTGAACTTTGTTGATGGTCTATTAGTATTTCAAAAATTAATAAACTTAAAACGGAATTGGTCATTTGTCAAAGGTGGCAGAGCTGTACACAGGGAAATCAGGGAGGCAGAAGACTTTCATCAGTGCCGTGGTTTGAATGTGTCCCCACATTCCCCAGAGTTCATGGGTTGGAAACTTAATGGCTGATGCAATCATTTTAAGAAGTAGGACCTTGTGGATTAATGCCATTATCACAGAAGCAGACTCCTGATAAAAGCATCCATTTGGCTCTTCTCCTTTTTCTCAAGTGTGCTCTTGCCTTTCCACTTATTTTTCTTTTTTTGCAGTACTAGGGATTAAACCCAAGAGCACACTTACCTCCACCACTGAGCTATATCCTCAGCCCTTTTTTTAATTTTTAATTTTTTGTTAGGGTCTTACTAAATTGTGGAGGCTGGCCCTGACCTTGATCCTTCGGCCTTAGTCTCCCAAGTTGCTGGGTTACAGGCATACACCATCTTGCACTTTTCTGCCTTGTATGAGATAACACAATAAGAAAGTCCTCACTAGCTGCAAGTCTCTTGACCTTAAATTTTTCACCCTCCAGACTGTAAAAAATATTTTTTTTTTTATAAATCACCCAATTCTCAGGTGTTCTGTTATAGCAACACAAAGTGAACTATGACATTCATATTCATACTGTCTAGGAAAATTTGTCTTATTATACTGCTCATTCCCTCAAAGAGCTGTAGCTGCAAAATGTTGTTTCTGGAAAGAATTCCCATTAATTCAAATGATTGCTTGCTCTTAAAAATAATGTTTGCTGGGGCTGGGGATGTGGCTCAAGCGGTAGCACGCTCGCCTGGCATGCGCAGGGCGCTGGGTTTGTTCCTCAGCACCACATAAAAGAAAATAAAGATGTTGTGTCTACCGAAAACTGAAAAATAAATATTAAAAAAAAATAATAATGTTTGCCAACAAATTTTCTGAGATAGAAGCCCAGCTGAAATTGAAGGGTAAAATTAACATTGTTATTTGTGTTTCTGACACAGAACTTTAAAATCACAAGCAAACAGAACAGGTACTCGGTCTTTGAATTTAATTGAGAGGGGGAAAACCAACCAAGATCAGAGTAGACTCCAGCTCTGATTTAGAAAGTGGCCTGGTCTTGATGCAGTTGGGTGTGGTGGTGCCCCCTTGTAATCCCAGGAACTCAGGAGACTGAGTTAAGAGGATCACAAGTTCGAGACCAACATCAGCAATTTAGGAAGACCCCGTCTCAGAATAAAAAATAAAAAGAGGTGGAGAGTAGTTAAGTGGTAGAACACCCCTGGGCTCAATTTCTAGTAGGGGGAGGGGATGGAGTTAATGATGCAAAGATGCAGATTTATCCAGTTAGTAACAGGTGTCTTTTCCTTAAGTGCAACTCGGAGAATTGTCAAGCCTGAAAGGGAAGCTAAGGGACCATCCTCCCTTAAAATTGCACTTACCCTTGCTTTTCTCCAATTGAAGTGGGATTTTGTTGCTTCATGTATGTATATGCTTCATACATGTATACTTTGTTGCTTCGTATATGTTTATTTTATATCACATAAAATATGTATTTCTGTCATCTACATTAGAAACAATTTTGTTTCTTGGGGGCACAGTGTGTTATTATGTTAGTGCAAACTAGCACTGAATAAATACTTGTTGATGTTAATGAAGCAGAGTAGGGTTTGAACAGTCATACTGTCTGATGTGGGCCTTAGTTCACCCATATAAAATTCAAATATTCATCAGGGATTTCTGAAATAGAGAGCAAGCCCAGATCCTAGGCACTGGGGACTAGGAGTAGATAAGCTCACAGATTTTCTTACATAACAAGGGAAGAGATAGGTAATAAGTACAGTGTACAGCATATGAGATGATGGTAACATTATGGAAAAACTAAGTCAGGGTGTGGATCAAGGAGTGTACGGTGGTGGTAGTCGTGGAGATTGTGGTGATAAAACCACTGGTAAAGCAGCACATGAGAGATGAGGTGAGTGATACCCCTGAGAGAGATCCTGAAATGAGCTCAGGGAGATTTGGAGCCAGGAAGATGTGTGGGAAGGTACAGATCTGTGATCCCTTTGTAGGCCAATGGTTTTCTTGGCTGTTACCTTGGGATGGTGAGCCATTAGAGCATTTGTAGCCCCAGCTTGGAGTGATCTGACTCTGTACCAGGGATCACTCTGGCTGTTGCATTGACAATAAGTGGCAGAGAAACAAGAGGCCCTTTTGGAGGTTGCGCTGTGATCCAGGAGGGTTGGTGGCAGCACACATCCAAGGTGGCAGCTGAGGAAATTATCCAGGAGGGATGGTAAGGCACAGACAAGTGGCAGGTCAGATTCTGGGTATATCTGAAAGGTAGATATGCCTGTGAATAATATATAAGCCACCCTACTGCACAGGAGTCCCTGCAAAGGTTATATGGGCTACCTAACCAGCAGTAAGGTAGGAGTGTAGAAAGCACTATTAGAACTAAGAGTGGAAAATATAGGAAAAAATATAGTGAATTCCTTTGTTTCCTGTATGTAAACATGACCTCCTCTTTTGGTTTTGAGGTGTTCAAGGGAACAAAGCACGCCTGCTTCCTCTGCCTGCTCTTGACACTCAGCTTCATGTGGGGTGCAGAGCAGTTGCGTTGTTGTGCTTTCTTCCTTCTTGCTGACTGCATTTGTTCTTTTCACATTGTGGAACCATGAAGTGGTTCAGAGTTTTTTTAAATGCCAAATATCTATTTTTATATGTTTCCCTTTTCTTAGGTGAAAAGCCATTTACTTGTGAAATCTGTGGCAAGTCTTTCACAGCAAAGAGTTCTCTTCAGACCCACATCAGAATTCATCGGTAAAGTTCTGCAGATATTTCTATGGTGTTGTTCTTTGGGATGACATATTACCTATATAATCCTGGTCCCCAAATTGTGACTCTGGTGGTTTGTTATTTTGTTTTATCTTTCCTTTCTTTTTTTTTTTTTTTTTTTTTTAATTTGCTTGTTTTACCTTCTCAATAATGAAATTCCTGGCAAAATTAGCAATACTGATGCTGACCAGTAAAAATTTGCATTGTTGATTTCATTTATTTAATTTTTATTTTGAATTGGGGGCTAGTCCAAAACATGAATCTTCGATTAAAAATAAGCATTAAATTCTAATTTTTTTCTGAATGTTTTACTCACAAAAATTACATTAATCGTGTGTACCTATTTGGACATTAGAGTCTAAAAAATGGCTGTAAGAACTAAAACAAAACTATGTATACAACGTAAATACTTTCTTATCTGAAATATGTACAATGGAATCATAAAATTGTATTACATCTAGCCCAACCCCATCTACCACCTTACCTCAAGCACCACACCCATCCCTTGTTTATTTTTTTCTCAAACGTTTTTTAATTTTTTTTCAGATTAGAAACTGAAGCCCAAGGAAATGTAACTTGCCCTACATCCTTAGTGGGAACCCATGGTTTACGTACAACTCAAAGACTAGGCATAACTAGCCAGGAAGTAATAAATAGGTATTTCTGTTTTAAAGTAAAATGTGTGTTTTCTTGTAGAGGAGAAAAGCCATACTCCTGTGGCATCTGTGGCAAATCCTTCTCTGACTCCAGTGCCAAAAGGAGACATTGCATTCTGCACACAGGCAAAAAGCCTTTCTCCTGCCCAGAGTGTAACTTACAGTTTGCTCGCTTAGACAACTTGAAGGCTCACTTGAAAATCCACAGTAAAGAGAAGCATGCATCAGATGCCAGCAGTGTTTCTGGTAGTAGTAGTAATACAGAAGAGGTCAGAAATATTCTTCAGCTACAGCCATACCAGCTCTCTACCTCTGGAGAGCAGGAGATTCAGCTTCTGGTAACTGATTCTGTACATAACATCAATTTCATGCCTGGTCCTAGTCAGGGAATCAGTATCATGACTGCTGAGAGTTCCCAGAACATGACCGCAGACCAGGCTGCTAATCTCACCCTGCTCACACAGCAGCCAGAGCAACTGCAGAATTTAATTCTTTCAGCTCAGCAGGAGCAAACAGAACACATTCAGAGTCTCAATATGATTGAAAGCCAGATGGAGCCCTCACAGACAGAGCCAGTGCATGTAATTACACTGTCCAAGGAAACCCTGGAACATCTTCATGCCCATCAAGAGCAAACAGAGGAGCTCCATTTAGCGGCAAGTGCTTCAGATCCAGCTCAGCACCTGCACCTGACTCAGGAGCCTGAATCACCACCACCTACTCACCATGTGCCCCAGCCCACTCCACTTGTCCAGGAGCAAAGCTGACCTGTGAACATGTTTGACTGCTCCAGCTATAGCAGGATGGTAAACTCTTGAAATCAGGCTCTCTGAGCTGACAACTTAGGTTCTTAAAGAAATGTGATAGCCATAAGATGTTTATAATGTGCTCTGTCTGGGCAGCTAAACATGTTGTGTGTGTGTGTGTGTGTGTGTATATGTATGTATCATGTTTCCTCTATAGTACCAATTTGAGTTTAGCGTTTCAAATAATGATAAATGGTTTTCATTTTCATTACAACATCTCTTAAAGAATAAGGTAATTTTTCTTTGAGGTGTTGATTTAGGCTTTTTGGTAAGTATTAAAATGTTCACCAACCAAAGGTTATGGTCTTGCTGACCTTTCCAGTATATTCTTTATTCTTCAGAACAAATGAAGTCATATATAGATTGAATTGGGTAAAGCAGTTGCTTCTACTCCTTTATTTCTCTTAGGCAACACAGTTGCCAGTCCAAGATAAGTCAGGGCTAAATATGACAAATCACAACATTTAGTTGATCCCCTAAGAGTAATTTTTATTTTTTTCTATACTAAGCATTGAACCCAGGGCCTCTCGAATGCTAGGCCAGTACTCTGCCACTGAACTACATCTTGTCCCCTTTTTTTTTTTTTTTCCTTATTTTAAGGTAACATCCTACTGTCCTAAACTTGCAGTCCTCCTGCTTCAGCCTTCTTGAGTAGCTGGGACTACAGGCATGTAACCACCATGATGGTAACAGTAATTGGACATTTAATCTTTGTGTGGGACAGTGAGCTAACCATGCTTAAGGTATATTCAAGCCCATATAACCTGTATTCATAACTCAAAATCATAACAATAAAGCCAAAAGTATACTTTCTTTAAAATTCTGAATTCGCATTTTTTGGAAAATACAGACTTGTACGTTTTTAAAAAGCAAGCTATTAAAATTTTAATTAAAAAGTTAAATATGAAGTTGGATCAAGGCATTCACCCTAAAAATAAACTGAATTTTGTCAGAAATGATAGTTGATTTTCATTATGTGGTTAAAGGTTTTTTAGTTATCCTAGAAAATTTTACTCAAGTGTAATTTGTGTTAAAGTTACTGATTTCGCATTGATCTATGAAAGTACTGATCTGTGTGTTGTGTTTGATACTTTTCTGGAGACACAAACTTACGATCTATTTTTATTGCAGACTAGATTAAGTCCCACAAAATGGCCACATCATTTTTAAAAGTATATCTTTTTCTAATCTTAAAAATAATTTGAGGGACTGGGGATGTGGCTCAGCTGGTAGCGCGCTCACCTGGCATGCTCGGGGCGCTGGGTTCGATCCTCAGCACCACATACAAATAAAATAAAGATGTTGTGTCCACCGAAAACTAAAAAATAAATATTAAAAATAATAATTTGATTCTCGGACCCTAAGCCAGCTATGTCTATAGTTGTGTGATTTTAAATAATTTTTCAAAAGATAATATTATATTTGAATTAGGTTTTCAAGTTCAGTGTATTTAATTGAAGTCTTAACTGCTTTCTGTCACATAAACTGGTAAGGGATTTTTAAGAAAAGAAGTTGGGTTTTAGTATCTCTAGTTTAACATAATGATGGTAGAAAGAAGACCCAAAATTAATAAGACTTCACATCAGTTGTTTTCTTGTTCTAACTCTTTTATTTTCACCTGAATCCAGTAAGTTCTTTGGAGGTTAAAGTAATTGAGAATTCTTGAGGTTTGAGAGATAATGAAAATATTTTTGTTGCTTACTTGTCAAAGTTATATTTTATAATATATATAATTAATAAAAGTTCCAAAATTATATAATATGCTTCAACCAAAATATTAGATTGGGCCTGACTGGAAAAAAGGTATAATTTTTACAAATACTTTCACTACTATTTCAGGTTCTTGATTTCCTCATTTAAACTATGTATTTTGTTCTTAAAGGGGTTTGTTTTGTTTTGGTGGTTGTGTGGACAGAATACCTTTACTTATTTTTTGTGGTGTTGAGGATTGAACCCAATACCTCACACATGCTAGGCAAGTGCTCTGCCACTGAACTACAGTCCCTGCCCTGTTCTTAAAGTTTTTAACCAACTTTTCAAAGTCTTCTCATCCATGGTTTTTCCTGGGAATACATAGTTTTAAAGTAGATGAATGTCTATTTACTCTGGATAGTTAGGTAATTATTCAGAAAATATGATTACATGATTGTTTATTATTCATTTATTTATTTGGTTTTGGTGCTGAGAATTGAACCTATGCTTGAGAGTGCTAAGTATAAGCCCTGAGTAAATTTACATGTTGTTGAGTTACACCCCAAGCCCAGGATTTATTTATTTAATTTTAAGATTTTTTATAGTGCTCGGGATATTACTTAAGACTTTGCACATACTAGGCAAGGTCTCCACCACTGAGCTACATACCCAGCCTTTTTTGTTTGAAACAGTTGTCTCGCTGTTGCTGGGCTAGTCTTGAATTCTTGGGCTCAAATGATCCTCCTGCCTCAGCCTTTCAAGAAACTGTGTGGCTGTTTAGTCAAGTTTAACTAGCTTTATAACCACCTACTTCTGCACTAAGCAAAATATAACTGAGCCACATAGGTAATTTTAAATTTTCTAGTATTCACACTTAATACAAAGAAATATGTGGAATTCGTTTTAATAAAATTTACTTAATCCAGTATTTGCCAAATATTTCAGCAGACAATTAATATAAAAAGGTATTAGTGAGATATTTTGCATTCTGTTTTTCATGCTGAGTCTTCAAAATCTGGTATTTTATAATTCCTGTACATCTTGATTTGGATGCTAATGTTCAGTGGATAGTACTTGATCTGCATTTAGATTTTATATATTTTACAATGGAAATCCTAGACTCACACACCAAGTAGTTCCAGCAATTTTTTTTTAGTAACTGAAACAAGTGTCAGTTTATAATTTTCTGTTAAAATTAATTAAAGTTAAAATCCACTTTTCAGTTGCAAGTGCTTGATAGCCACATGTGGCTAGTGGCTCCTATTATGGACAATACAGTCCTATTTCTAGGTTGGGATTCAGTCCTGGCCATAACTAGATTATCTGACCACCAGTCAGGAAAATGAGAAAGTGACAGCTTTGTCAATCCAACCTCCCTTTGTGTTCCAAATATACATTCTGCCCCTTTGGATGAAATCCCTTTTTTTAAAATTTAGTGATTTCTATACCCAAATTCTATGACCTGTTAATTCAGAAACTGGCAAGGGGCAATTGGGGGGGGGGTGAGAAAAAACACAGAAAAAGCAGGGACCAAGTGGGACACTGTCCTCTGATGGAGAAACAGTGACCCAGAGCTAGCTCAGCATGTTTATTATATAGATTTTATCATCTAGAGGTTATTTGTGGGAAAATTCCAGTAAAACAGACAGACTTGAAGGTCACAGAATTCTCTAAACCTAGGAGGTGGTGCCTGAGCTCAAGGTCCAGACTGATATAACTGTGCACCTTTGCATAGAGCCTCCCCAGGCCGGCCATCACCATAGCAACTAGGCCGTCTTGACCTGCACATTTGCACAGGAAGTTCCCAGCACAAACAGCCATGAGGCAGTCAGAGACCATGGTTCAAGTCATTACTCTCCATACCCAAATAAAATGGGTACACAAAAATGCTTTTCATAAGTCCCTGAGTATATGACTAGCATAATGTTTCACAATTCATTTTACACTAAATGTACACAACTTTTTAAAATTGTTATAACAAGTATAGAAATATAGCATGCATGTCTTAGAAAGAGAATGTGTTTGGAGGCCACTGAAACACGTCTGGCTTTGAAATGAATCTTTGGTTTTCTCTTAAGAGAGTTAGCGTCAATCCAACCTCCCTTTGTGTTCCAAATATACATTCTGCCCCTTTGGTTGAAATCCCTTTTTTTAAAAGACTCAAGTGCTTACAATGGAAACAAAATTATTTATGTGCTTGCCTGTTGTTTCTCAAAACTTGTTTCTACTTCTACTCCATATATTTTCCACTAATGATTCTTGTGTTGATGTGACCAACAGGTTAAATGATGCTGAGGGATTAAGGGAGATTTACATTATAGCTGCTTACATATGGTTTTTATGAATTGGAAAAGTATCTGCTACATGTGGAGTCCTTACTACAGGCCAGGAGTGAAGCCAGGTGTGTTAGGTCTAGATCCTATCTTAGTGCTTCTCAAACCTTTTCCATTTTATGACACACAGTATTTTTAAGGCACCTTTTGGTTTGAGGACTCCAGTCCTCTCTGGCCATGACTGACGACGTATTAGTTTTCCTAGGGCTGCTATAACATGTACCACAGACTAAGTAGTGTCAACAATAATTTATATTCTTACAATTCTGTAGTTCAGAAATTTGAGATTAAGGTGTCAACAGGGTTGGTTTCTGTAAGGACTGATGTCCTTGTAAAGGAAAAAATTTGGACATAGGCTGAAGGACGACTATGTGAAGACATCACATGTCTGTTGGATCAGCCCATCCTGACGACCCCATTTGTGATTTAACCTCTGTAAAGGCCCCATTTCCAAGTATAGTACACTCTGAGGTTCTAGGATTAGAGCTTCAGCATGAATTTTGGGCAGATGAAGGCAGAGACATAATTTGGACCTTACACCAGGTGTCTGGGGTAAGAAAGGGAGCCATGACTAGGACACACCTATAACCCCTTAAAGCAGGTCTTAATCTTCATGCCATCCATGTGAAGTAAGTAGTATTGTTATTGTTGTGCCCATTTTACAGATGACAACATTGAGGCCCAAGGAGATGATGTCTGTTGCCCAAGGTTATATAGTAAGTGGTAAAGCCAGGACTGAGGCACAAGCCTGGCTGTTCCCACAACCCTGCTTCATCAGATGGGTTTAAACTAAAAGTGAGGGTCTGTGTCTAAAATTTTATCATGTAGTTAAACTTAGCTAAAACATGAAAGTTACAGTCAATGGATCAACTACCATTTTAATAATAATCACATTAATATTTCACTATTGACTTAATCAAAATTTACCAAGTGAGTGAAAGTTACTACCAAAGTGAAAATGTCTTATCTAACATGAACCACTATAAGTGAGTCCTTCTTTCAAACTCTTAGGAAATTTTAAGTTTAGGACAGATTTGTAAAGAATTAAGGTAGATTTTTATTCTATTTCCAAACTTAAGCCCAAATCCTTATGAACTGAAAACGCTTTGTCTTTCTTTTGAAAATAGGAATGAAGGAATGACCTCTAAAATATCCCGCTTGCCTGCCTTTGGTACATGGCAGTATAGAGGCGTGACCTCTAAAGAAGCTGGGATATCATTGTGATAATTAATCTCGCTTTCAGGTTGTTTATACATAATTAAGCAGCAAAGATTAACTATAATATTCATGTCCTTCTCCCTGGAAAGTTACATTAGGAAAACATTCAGTCATTTTCAGCATAAAATGTAGGAACTTCACCACATGTAGGTAACCTTTAGTAAGGAATCTTAACTTTTTAAAAGTTTTCTGAAAAGCGATACTATATTAAATGTGAAGTGTGGAAGAGGGAAAAATTGGAGCAGGAATCAGAAGCAGTGAGATTCTTGGATCCTGTATTTATTATTGATTTTGAATTCTTAATATCCATAATAAAACATTTTGAGTACAAATTTGGTCATGATTTCCAGAAGAGTAGTTTGACTTGTTTTAGTTAATTCATATTATATTATCCTTGTTAAATGAAAAACTGAAGTTCCTTAGGCTTCATTAGAGTTAAAACTTAATTTTCTTAAATCCACCTCAGAATTTTCATGTGATTAAGTCGTTTCTGGACAGATGTTTCCTTTATTCTTTGTGTTTGAAGGGCGAGAGCAGTCTCCTAACAAAATGTGCAAATATTTAAACTGACCCTCAACCTGTCTTTTGACTCTTTGTAGCCTCTAAAGATAAGGTCCCTTGTGTTATCTTGTAGTCTATTAAATCATATTTTGTTTTTGAAAAAGACATTGAGTAAAAAGCAGCATACAGGATACAGGATAAAATTGGAGAGAAGAAGAAGGAAGTGAAGGACCCAAATTTGTAATTCATCCATTCTAAGCTAAGAGAGAAAGCTGGGAGTCACTGAGTCACTCTTGATAGTCCTCCCTCATCCCCCACCATAAATCCATCATCATCCAATTCTGTCAGTTTTCCATCAAAAGTATTGAACCCATCCCCTGCTCCTGTCCTCATTGTACACCATGTTTCTTGCCTGCACTCCATCCTCCCAAGGATCCTTACTGATCCTTTCTTCCTATGTCTCCCAGCCCCTACTCTACTGGAGTTGGTGGTCCATTGGAACTCACCTTTGTCCCCTTAGCATCAAACAGGATTCCTTGCCAAAGGAATGGGTATTCATTATTAAGGCAAACACTTCTTGACCCTGCCCTGCTTAAAATCCCCAACGCAGCTTCCTCTTGACCCTCTTGCTCATTCTCACTTCCAGCAAACTCGCTTCCTAGCTATTGCCCAACACATACCCATCTCTCTCTTGCCTCAGGGTTTTGGGGCAAGTGGTTTCTCAGTCTTGAAAGTTTTCTCCCCTTGCTGACTGACTCATGACTCATCTCAGAATTAGAGGAGGCCTCTCTTACCCTCTAATCTTAATCAAGCCACCGTATCATAATCTTTCATGGCACAGTCTACACTTTGAATTCAGTTTGTAATTATTTTTACATCAAGAACTGTGTTTCTTCAAGCTCATACTGCTCCTGAGCAAGGACCATTGGTTTGGTTGGAGGCACTGACCTGCAGGTACAAGGCTATATTATAAAGTGGATTAGACATGTCATCTGCAGTGCTAGGAACCTAGTTC